TTGTTCTCTAAAGAAAGAGCTTTTCTTTTCTGGGGTTTGAAAGATTTTCTCGAGAAAATCGATGTAGTAGTGCTGGGGTTAAAGATATATGACTAATATATATATGTACACAGAAGTTGATATGTAGAGAGAGATAGAGAGAAGGGGTTATGTGGGGTGCTTGGGGTTTCAATGATGACTTGTGTCAGAGAGACCCTTGTAATTTCAATGATGATATATACTGTTACCTGCTCCTCTCTCTCTAAAAAATACTAAAAAAATAACTCATTCAACTCCAATGCGTTTAATTTTTTCAATACGTTTGACAAATGAATTTTTGTTCATTTGCTTACTAAAAGTCAATAACAAACGTTAACATTTTAATACATAAATCTCAGTTATTTTGTTGTGTTTTGACAGCAATAAGTATTTGGTTTTGGTTCAACGTCTTAAAAATTATGCTTAATTAATCATATCATTTGCTTATTCTCGAAAAGTCATATTTAAAACTTGATTATAGCTAAACTAATTTAAGTAATGCACACGCTTTGTAGATCTACTAAACAATATTAATAGTATAACAAAATCTTTGTTTGAATTGTTTTATTTCTTAACCCATGAGAATAGTACTATTTTAAAAGGAAAAGACAGATGTGTATGGTAAAGTAGGGCCGCTCGTGAAGAACAAACGCGAGTAAGAACGCGTGGAACGGAAGAGAATGGCGTTGGGCTCAAAATGGGTATGGTAGTCAGAAAACGATGTCGTCTTGATGATACAGAGCCTAACACTGCATGGGGTTTTTAAGACTCTAGAGTTACCCGTGAACCCAACATGCATCTAATTAATCTTCGATTCATTTAATATTCCCTTTTCCTAAAACTCTCCTTTGATTAGGAATTATTCTTTTGGTCAACTAATAAAAGCAAAATTCAAGTTTCTCCATTGAATTTTATGTCTAAGTCAAATAGAAAACGGACATTTGGAAAAGACTAGTGGTGGTAGTGTTTACGGCTACTTTCTGTCATTGAAACAATAATTTTGGTTTATGTTTCCTTTTTATTGTTTTCAAAGTTGTTGATAATGCCATCATTATTACTACTACTTCAGTTTCTTCGAGAGTTACAGACAAGACAAGTCGGGTTTATTATTTAATTTTTAAGTTAAATAACGTCCGACGCTTTTTCAAAACAAATTAATGTGTTTTTAATTACTTTCAAATGTAATGAATATGAATTGACTTCTTATGTATCTTCAATCAATGCGGTCATGCTTTTCATCGACTCTTAAAACTTGCTTTGACCTTTCTTGAAAACTTTTCTTGGTAAAATATGTTTAGATAATTGTTTTTATTTTGAAGCCTAATTGGTTGGTTGACTTGATTGATAGTAATAGTACTCTAAACACATTAGTTATACAAAAAGATTTATTCCTAAATTTTCTATCTAAAATTCACTACAAAAACTAAAAAGTATGTTTAATTTATTTGTAAGTTCTTTTTTGCTCAAAGAAAAACACTACAAAAAGTATGTATTGATAAATGAATAAGGGCTATGAACTAAGTTAACATGGGTTATGATTTATGAGCCGGACCATGCATATATAAACAAATAGTTGGTTGCAAGTTACAATTCATAAGTCATAACCCAAGTTAATTTATATACTTTTACTCTTTTTTTTTGGTCAGAAGAGGGAAGTTTCTAAGCTTTTACAGTAATCTCCCTTTTTCCAACTCTTCTGACATTCTTGATTGTTTTAAGGAAAAGCAGACAAATATTTTTGTTTTATTTTGTGTCTAGAAAACCTATGTATGATTCTGCTTTGTTACATGGCTATGCTATATTTTGTATGTATGTTTCATGATACAACTACATGAAGTGTAACTAATATGAAATCTAGTTAGTACAATTGCTACATGTTCGTTCTCCGTAAAATTCGAGTCAAATAAATCCATTTGTTATCACGATTGGTTAAATATGTTTCAGAGCTAATGATGTTTCAGTACATTGCATATTAATGAATGTGAAATTCTGGAATAAAGCGTGTGACGGTGTGGGAGAGTGTAGAAGAAGTGAAGCAAATTTAAATAAGTATAGAAAAAAAAGGAGGTCACGTGGGAAATGGGAAGGGGTTCACGAAAGAAGTTGCCAACGTGGCAGCACATGGTCCCCAGTGACCACACTCGTGCGGCGTAATTTTTGTTCCTCCACGACCAGACATTCACTTCTCTTTAATCATTGGATACTTCTCTCCTTCTCCGACTCGGTGGTTCCTACCACCACACGCGCTCACTCTCGCGTGGTTGTTCGTGTAAAAATCGTTGTGAGAATTTTTTTTAAAAAATCGTTGAGAGAATTTAAAGATGAGAAGAACGTTAGAACTTAGAACAATACAAAAATATCTTCTAAAATTAATACGACAAACTACACATCATTAAATATCCTCCAACTATAATATATCGTACAGAAAATCATAATGAAAAATACAAAACTGATATCCGTTTGTAAAACATAAAAAAAAAATTGGTGAATGGATACTCGATAAAATTTTTGACCAAAAAAAAAACTTCAATATATTATATTGATATACGTAAATATGAGTTAAAAATTGTGGATATAAGTATATTTACAATTTGGTTTGAGTTTTGTTATAAGTTATAACAGTATATGGCGAGGGAATTAAAGATATCAGTTCGGTAAGAGACAGCTAAGAACAGGATCCGATGAAAACCGACCAAAGCAACCAAAGCCCATGTTGCACCAATTATAACGAGTTTTTGAGGTAATCATGCATGGATTTAAATATACTTATGATCATACTAATTACTTAATTCAAGAGTTCAATAATTTTGACACATCTTTATTAAAAAAGAAGACACACATTTGGTCCCAGTGTCCCACGTGTGTGTCCATAACCATGTGCAAAAGCTCTCCCAATGCATGTGTTCTCCTTTAATTTAATTTCGTAGTTTGAACTTATATACATCACCTTCTCGATATATATACGTACAATTCAGAATCTAATTATTTTGGTATACGTTTTTTTGGGTTTAACTATATACTAGTTTAAGTAAACTAATTTATAAATTTAACTACTGAAACAATCAATTAGATACCTGCAGAGTGTATCATTATCAATTTACAGGCACATGATTTTATATACGTACGTGTATAATTTGAGATCTGATCAGTTGGAAAGAGAGAGTAAAAAGGTGAAAAAGAGGTCAAGATAAATCAAGCTACAACTTTCGCCCGATCAAAAGTAAGTAAATATATTATTTTGGGTTTGATTGGTAAATTTTGAGAGTTAAGGTAAATGTACACTATATTTAGTACTACTACTGTATATAGATAGTCCCATCCATCAATAATTGTTCGCTGAGCCAATTTAATCATTACAAAATAATTATGATATTTTTCACGTATCACATGATTCTATCGACGTATCTAACAATTTACTCGAAATCATTACACATGTCCTGATGTCCACGTGGGAAGCCCGTCACTTAATTTGGTCCGTTTCAAGATTTGATTGATTCTTTATAATCAATACTATTATTTGGTATCCGTGCAATCTGTATTAATAACCCATCTAGGCTTTGAATAAAAACATAGGGCTACGCTGGAAATTGAGTGTAAGATCGATATTAGAATTTCAGAATAACAGCTGTTCACATGGATGCAGAAATTATATTTCTAAACAGAGATCATAAAAGCAAACATAATCTCAATAGTATTACAGTATTACTAATTAAGGTGATCGAGCACTAGATCGAATCGAATTTTATCAGAATAAATTTGTCGGTGTTTTTTAAAAAATCGACCAAATTTTCTAGTGTTGATCCGATAAGAACCTAAACCGTCTTTAGATCAAAACACTTGACGATTTTTAACCAAACATATAAATCCTAGAAAAATATATATCTCAAACATATAAAGCAGAAAGTTTCAAAGATTCAAAAAAAAAAGTTAGCAAGGAGACATGGCGAGTGAGAGCCACGTGACTGAGGAGAAAAAAAAAACAGACAAAAGGACTCTCAATTAAATTAGATACGCCAGCGATTCACGTGGGAAGTCACGTGATGGAGTGTCCACGTGTCAACCTCACAAGTGAAATAATAGAGGGGTTAGCATTGTCCTACCTTCGCACCACACCGCGCGTGTCTCATTGTCTCTCTCTCACCAGACACCAATCATTTGATGCGACACGAGCTTCTACTGAAATTACATTTGTGCCCCTTCCTCTCATGATGTTATGATCACACAGCCTCGATCCAATGCGTTTTGGATTGTGTGTGCACAACTGTTATCCATGTGACTTGCACGTGATCTCGTCGTGTTTGAGAAATTAGATTTGATAGCACTAAATTGGTTCGAGAGAGACAATGCGAACTACGAGTGAGATAATTCGTCTTTACTTAAGACAAAATCTATTTTTGGACTTATGATGGTTGGAGAATTTTGTAGACCTTTTAACTTAAAAACATAAACAATAAATTTCATTTAAAAAGTACTATCATTCAAAACAAGTTCTTTAGTAGTTTTTAGATTATAGATTTTGGTTTTTGGTATTCGGATTTTGTTCAAAAGAAGAAGTAAGTAAATGGAAAACAAAAAAAAATACTATATGACATCACGGCCAGCACTCTATAAAGTAAAAACTAATAAAAATGGGAGTTTTGGATTTTGTGAAAGAATTGACAAAATCTCTTTAAAATTTAGATTCTCTATTTTTTAAGAAATATTTTTATTATAATCTTGAATGAGTAATAAATTGTTCTTTGTAAAATCAAAAACTAAAAATCATTTCAGAATCTACAAACAATCAAAGCCTTAATTTATGTATATAAGTTAAAACAAAAAAGTATATAAGTCAAAGTGGTATATGGGTAAATTACTTAACAATATGTGTTGGGCCTAAATAGGCTCAATTAAAATGGGCCTTTTCTCAAGTAGTAAATTACACTGGTCATATAATCATAATCAAATTTTATCCACAAGGAGTCTCTTTTGGCTTATCCACCAAAACAGAGACTTGTTGATTCGTGAAGCCGAAAAAAAATGGTAATTCTCAGCAACGTCTCGTTGTTCTCCTGCTGCAACATCTCTCAGAAACCATCTCTCTCGTCTCTCTCCAATTCTCCGTCTTCTCGTAATTCTCATTGTGCGCTTCGTTACTCTCAGGTAACCTCCAATCTTTTCTCCGAACCGTTTAAAAAAAAAAAAAAACGGTTTTGATAAAGAAGGAGCCAAATTTGAATTAGTAGTTGATTACACTTGTAGCTTTTGTTTAGTGAAGATTTGTTGGGACTGATTCATGTTTGATCTTTGGTGTTATCTTATATCTAGACCACATGCTCATGTTTGTATGTATCGTTGAGTAGTGTTGATACATTGAGAAGAAAACTGATTTGAGATTATGTTTGACCTAGACAAGATCCAATTTTATATGTCCGTTGAGATTCAGACAAGATTCTTTTTGTGATTTTCTGTTTTTGGGCAGGAAGGAAAAGAAGTTGTTGTTAGTCCTTTGAGAAGTGTGGTTTGGTCATCAGGAGAAGAGGTTTCAAAGAGAAGTCTACTTGCACTTGTCTCTGCTTCTCTCTTCTTTGTTGATCCTGCTCTTGCTTTTAAGGTAACCCTTTGTTCTTATCTCCTTTTTTAATTATATTCTGGAATCTGTAATGAAAGTAAGTAAAGGAACTTGCATATAGTGGTGGTACACAATTGGTATAAAACTATAAAAGGTCGAAACTTTAAGGCAAGTGATGATCAGATCACCATAGAAAAGTTATTGTGAGCAAACGTTGTGTTACTTATGGAAATTTCTCATCCAATCTAAATTGGAAACCATTGAGTGTTAATATTAGGCACTTTCTCTGCTATAAACTTGAGTAATAAGTTGAAACAGTTTGCCCTGTAGTTTCACTGTCAAGCTTATGATCTGGTACTTACCATTGTAGAACCATTGTAGAAATGCCCTCCAAATCATTTGAGGTGTTTGTATCAATAATGCGAAATGGCAGAAACAGAGTTCCTCTTGAATATGTTATCTTAGTACTAGATGAATTTTTCATTCAAGTGACTAAGATATCATAAGATGTTCTTCTCTATAGCTCACTTTCTTTTCTGGATTTGGATGAAACTGAAAGGGTGGAGGTCCCTATGGACAAGGAGTCACCAGGGGACAGGACTTATCCGGCAAAGATTTCAGTGGCCAGACTCTTATCAGGCAGGACTTCAAAACGGTATACATTATGCAGTTATAGACGGTTATAGATCAGCATGAATACCATATTTATCATCCTCTTATTTGATTACATTTTCGGCAGTCCATCCTAAGGCAAGCCAACTTCAAGGGTGCGAAGTTGTTAGGTGCTAGCTTCTTTGATGCAGATCTAACAGGTTCGTTCTCTTTTCTTTATTGAGGTAGTAGAAGAACTGTAATAGAGACGACTTCTCATTCATGGAATGTTAACTCTTATCATCGTAAAACCAGGTGCTGATTTATCGGAAGCTGATCTCCGAGGTGCAGATTTCTCCTTGGCAAACGTAACAAAGGTTGTATTCGATGTAACATATATGTGTCCATGTATGTGCTTAAATGTGTATAAAGCTAGGGATAACAGAAAGATCTTTGACATTAATGGTGAATAATAGTTTAAAATGTTACATCATGCAGGTGAATTTAACGAACGCTAACTTGGAAGGAGCGACTGCTACTGGAAACACATCATTCAAGGGATCAAACATTACAGGCGCAGGTAAAAAAAAAGAAAAGAAAACTTTCATAATAACAATAAGCACATCTCTTTGTCACCTTTGAGCTATCACAGAGTTTGATACTTTTGTGTGTATATATTTGAAATGGATTTAGACTTCACCGATGTCCCTCTAAGAGATGATCAAAGAGTATACCTTTGCAAAATCGCGGATGGGTAAAATTCTCTTATCTCTTAGAATCTATCTTATATTATGTCTGAAACTCAGCAGAATGTGATTAAATTGTTTGTGTGTTTGTCTTTTGTTTGACTCATTAGAGTTAACGCGACTACTGGGAATGCAACGCGGGACACATTGCTCTGCAACTAAACTGTGAAATCTAAAGCTTTGGACTGTGGGAGTCTTCTTCTTATAATTTTTTTTCGAGATTTGAGCATTGTGTAGCTTTTTGTGCATGTTGTTGCAGAGAATGTGTGTATATAACTATATATATTATTTACTAATCTCAAGCTTGACCTTGAGAGATTGATTATGTATGCTACTTAACTTCCACATGCTCGTCTCCGTGGAGGTGATTACTGTTTTTTGTTTTATTTATTGGTGTAAATCACAATTATTATTATGACATTTTCTCGGAACTTTACTTGTAAATTTCATGAATTTTGATTAACAAATATAGTTTGTATAAATTACTAATGCGTGTAATAATCTTATGTGTATTTTTTAACATTAAACCAAAAAAAAAAAAAAAATCTTATGTATAAATTACTAATGCGTGTAATAATCTTATTTGATTCCTTGAAAAGAAGGGAACTTCAAAAGTTGTTTCTGATCTTCTAAAATTGGCACAACAAAATAAAGAAAATACAACTGGAGATTTTGTATAATTGAATACTACAGCTGGTATGTCTAAAATCTAAGGTAAAATATGTTTCTTCAAAAAGAAATATGATGCATATGTAGAAATATATAATACTGCGATTCGGTTACAAAAACACATGATTCAACAAAACCTCGAAAGTTATTTTTAAAATGACAGAAAAATAAAATATCAGCTGAAATGATTTATGTTTCTTAGTACATACATGCACTCAGTGTGGAATGTGAAATAAATTTGTCAACCTTTTGATACTATGCATTAAATGAAAATTTTATTCCTTATAATCCCAACCGTTGTATCCAGACACGTACCATGCTATATAGACACAAAACAAAAAATTTGCGTTTCTCTTGTTGTTGTTAAAAGGAGAGGGAAGAAGAGAGGTAGAGATCGACGCCATGAGCACTTCGAGGGGCTCTGTGTTAAATGCACATGCGCTGGAGTTTAAGCCAAATCCCGACGACTGTTGTATATTTGTCACGTTCTCTAATGGCTTTCCTCTCACAGAAAGCCAGATCTTCGCTTTTTTCAACAGGCAAGTGTAACCCTAATTCATGAAATTTATTAAATGTATAATAGTTTTTGGTTGGTGCAAATGATTTGTGACAAGACGATTTCACATGACCTTGAAACTTACTTTACCTTGCATCATAGAAGGTTTGCTATGTGTAGTTAGAAACACATCTATGAAGTCTATAGATTGATAAACTTTTAGTTTAGTTTGTACTGATAGATCTCGACTTGCATCATAGAAGGTTGGCTATGTGTAGTAGACACACATCTACGAAGTCTATAGATGTATAACAATTTTAGTTTAGTTTGTGCTAATAGATCTCGACTTGCATCTCACAGTATATTGTGCTTCTTGATACATATAGTTATACAAACAAATTGTTTTAGTTTTTTCGCTAGTTAATTACATCTTTTATATGATTCAGTTGGTTCATATATGTGTATATATGTGATGATGATGATTAGGATGTGCCCGGGGCGTGTGGTGGACGTGTATGTCCACAGGCCTAGGCCAACAGGGAGGGTGGCTAGGCAAGGTTTGTTCGGAAAAGTGATGTTCAATTCTATTTGCATACCAGGTAATGTGCTGGGGTCTCGTGAAAAGGTTTGCTTTGTCATCGATGGGCGTCCTATGTACTGCAGAAGGTTCGTTAGTAAGAGGTCAAGAACCGCCAATGCAGCAGCCCTCGGTGATCGTCGCTAGTGATTCGGCCGGGAGGTTGAAGGTGAAACCCTTTTGTTGTATATCAACGAAAGGGTTTCTTGAATAAGTTTCGTTGTTGTTTTTAATTTCATGAATAAAGGGAGTGAACTAGCCTCTCATGTGGTATGTAATCACCTATTTTAATCCTGTTGACAAACTATGTTGAAGTATGTTTTATTTTAAGTGGTTGAACTATATCTGTTTATTGTTTTTTTTGTCATTTTATGGTTTTTCTTTTCATGGTATGATTTTAAAATATTTTTGAATAATTATGTTAATTTTAAATCCATATATTGCATTTTATTTTAGATAAGGAAAATGAGCTGGAGGGAGACTCTGACTATTGACTACTATATATATGTATACACTAAGATTGAATTATTGATTTAATATTATAAACAAATTAATATTATTACACTTATCGAAAATTTATTACATAGAAATTAAAGCAAACGATTTTTTTTGAGTTTGCCTCTGCAGAGAATGGATGAAAATATATTATAATAATCACATATATTGTCTCGTTTAATTTCGTGTATATAGCAAGTAGCAATCTGCAGTTTCCGGGAGAGATTTAATATTTTAATTAGTGTGATTATTGTCTTTGTGTGTCATTAGAGTACTACGGAAGCCACCACGAGGATAACGACTGCGCTAACGATGGCAGTTAACTTTCCTGTCCAAATTTCGTTGAAGTAGACTGAGAGTGGCGAAGGATGTACTTTTTTGTATTCTGATAATGTTAAAACGATCCTCCTAGTATCTGTTGAACCTCTGGGCTATATCGTAATAGTGAGAGTCATAATCAACAATCCCTAATTAAACACAGCTTGTTCACCATGTACGCCACCGATTTTGAACGTCCAACTAGTTCTTTATTATACCTTATATTAAAAATAAAACATATATAATAGAGTCTAATCCAATTTAGTTAAATGTTTACCATTTGAGCCAGACCAATGATTGACTAACGATAAACGGTCTTTAACAATATGTTTATTTCATTTATTTAGTTTTCGAATTCACACGTGTTAATTATAATAGGAAACACAAAAAAAATCATTACAAACCCTAAAATTTATTAATTTTTATTGTAGGATTTATATAAATTTTGGAAACTAAATAAACTAAAAACAATATGTCGTAAATAGCCGCTTACTATTCCGAATAGATGAATTATCGTTGACCATTAGTTAACTACTTTTCGAGGTCAAATTTGATAACTTAGTTTGAAGGTTTATTTAGATAAAGTTAATTAGTTGGAAGTTTTATATGGGAATGAAAAAGATTGAAGGTTTTTGTTGAAAAAATATTTCAATTTAAATGTTTTCTATAAAAACAACAAAATTGGAAGTTTTAGTTAGGAAAATGTTTTAATTTAGATATTTTTGTGAGATTTTCCCTTAAGATACATAATCAACCTGGAAAGATGACGTTAGCCATGATGGAATAAATAAACAATATGAAAAAGAAGCATTATTTGTTGAACCAAGTCGAGCTAAAGAGAAAAACAAATTAAACATAGTTTTGCATGAGAGATAAAAAAAACAAATATTGTTTTGTTTCGTGTATAACAAGAGACAATCTACGGTCCTCGGAACAGAGCCGGAGACGGTGGAGGATTATTTTCCTTCTGCGTCACTTGGAGAACGGAAGCCACCGTCCCAATCAAAGTCAACACGAGGATAACGACTGCGGCAACGGTGGCAGTTCCGGTCCAAAGATCTTTAAAGTAAACTCGCCGGAGTGTGGCTATGGATCTATTGCGACGGCTCTCGTAGTGTTTGTTGAGTCTATCGGCTATATCGTAATAGTGAGATCCAAAATCCACAAGCCCTAAACACAGCTTGTTCACCATTTCCGCCACCGATGCTTGATGTCCTAACCAGTTCTTTATAACTCCTTGTAACGAAAAATGTGAAGATATGTTAATAAAGGAATCTCATAAACATGAATCTAGACGTAACCTGGAACCGACTTCTTGTGCTACATTTCACAGACCAAAATTCTGAAACCTGAATTGAGCAACCCGATTTGTTCATGCGTCTCTGAACTAGATCTTTGTAAAGAGTTTTTTACCTTTCTTGACGAGCAAGTCAACGTCTTGGTCGGTGTCGATGAGAAAATCCAAGAAGGCTATGTAGTTACAAACATAAGCAGTGAGAGGGTAATGACATTGTTCGAGGGCCATTAAGTTCCTCATAATCCTCTCGGTGTTGTCGTCCGCTAAGAAACAAGGTATTTCCAAGATTCCCCGTTCGAAAGTAATCACCAACGATAAATTGTTTTTTTCTTCCAGAGGCACAAAATCCACTCCAGCACTGTCTAGTTTGTCTGCGTTGTGCAGACTCTTTATGCTCTCCGGTGGCTTATCCTTTGCGCTTTTGATTTGTTCTTTTGTCAAACAAAGTGTTTCCACACGGACACGTCGAAACAAATCTGTAAAATGTCGGAAATTCATTCCTTCTTTGACCTCTCCTTTTAACCTGAAAGCTCGAAGGATAATGTCACGGAAAGTTTCCTTGGTTTCAAGATTTGCGAAAAAATGTATAGAGAGTTCCTCTAAAAGGACATAAGGGAGTTGGTTCTCGAGCAAGATTAGGTCTTCTAAAATAGTGGTTATGAGACAAGGCTCCTGGAAAAGAATATCTTCTTCATGGAAAAGAATTTCTTCTTTCTTCTTGATGTTTTGAGTAGTTTCAGTCTGAATAAAGAACCCTAGTATGAACACCGAGTCGAGGAGGATCATTTCCACGAACTCTTGGGATTTGATCCACTCCGTTGACTCGGCGTAGCTTTCTCTTATGAATTTCTCACTTGTTCTTATGATTTTCCTGAAAACTTCGATAATTTGATCCCCATATTTATTTGCAATAGCATTAAGGTACTTCTTCTTGTGAAGTTCCATGTTGATATAGTCCAAATATCTAGAACAATATAATGTAAGCGCATTAGCATATTATGTACTTTCAACACAAACACTACAATTTAAGATGTTAACAGAAGCGCAAGCATTAAATCAAACACCAAATTTAAAATGATATTTAATACGAGAAAACACTATAAAGGTATGATTAAATACAATAATCTAGCATGTTATAAATGTAAACATAACACACAAACGCAAACACAAAATCAGAAACTAGCTTTTGTTTCAGTAAGATTAATATATACACACGTACCTTAAATCGGTTTTGGAGAGCTCAAGGGCTTTAGCTTTCTTAGAATGTTGAAGTGGACCGATGAGAAGCATTTGAGGAGTGTATGCATCTGGGTTCACTCTCCTTAACCGGTTAGGTACTCTGTAGATGCAACAATACTCTTTGCTAAACGAAGAAGGCCATATACCGGAAATCTCAGATTCAGAGCAAGGAACCGGTTTATACGGTTTAGTGGTGACCGAAAGAACCTTTGCTTTCTCAGCTGCTCCGTGTTTAGGAACCAATGGATCATGAAATCCTTCGCTCCACCTACCCACGTTACCAGACCGGCCGGTTTCATTCTCACTGGTTAGCTGTATTCCTTGTTCTAGATCCTCCATCAGAGGTTCCTTCTCCTACAAGTAAGAAGTCATTTTATTGTTCAATTTTCAAAAGTGGAAGAAAATAAGATAAATAAATTTTCTGTTTTCTCGAACCTTGGCCATGTATGCTGATAATTGTATATAAGTGATAACGAGATTTGGATTAAAGGCACGTTGCTTCTTTGAACATATTTAATTGTGCACATGGATTGTTACAACGAGGTTAGGGATTTATATAAGATCACAAAAGGAGGATATAGAAATATAATGACGTGAGAGTGAAGCTATCTAATTCAAGCATTTTTATATTGCTTCTTCCTTAGGGAAATTTATGCCAACTTTTTTCATTCCTTTATATGTTTCTGTTTAAATCATCTTCCGAGCAAAGAATTATGCTGTCAGGAAGTGAAGAATAACAAAAAGTCCAACGCAAAACACATTGGACCATCTGATGTTCCTCACACAAGTTTCTCAGGTTTCTTAGCAGTTACTAGACTCCATCATAATATTAGCCCATTGGGCTTTAAGTCTGTCCCTATATTTCATTTGGATCGGAGCTATGATTGTTAAAGACAATCTTAACCAAACTACAATTTCGGCGTTTTTTTTTTTGCTTTCTGATCATATGCAACCAAAATTTTTGTCAGGTGTTCATGTGAAGAACAAAATATCAACCAACACTTAGACCTTTTAACAATGTGACAAAATAGTAATTCATTCATTATACCCACCGTATGGATGAAGGACACCTCATTGGTTATCTATTAGTATTTAATTTTCATTGACTATAAATATTAATTTTCAAAGTAGAAAAAACGCAAAAGTTACAATAGCGAGCATATAATCCAAAATAAAGATGAACATATAATAATAAAAAGTAAATAAAGAAGCAGAAACTTCAAGAATTATTCGGGGGTGGAAAAATAGGAGAGAAGAAAAGTGGATCATTATCAAATTTTGTCTCTTTAATGATGCAATTTAATATGACAAATAAAAATTATGGAGACAAAAGACTATTCGTAGGGCACCCACTAATAGATATATAAATGATGTGATGTAGAACTGTTTCTCTCTTAATTTTGTTTTTCCTCTACATTATAAATACCTTTTCCCTTGCATGATTGGATTTGTTTATAAATATAAATCTTAACTTAGTTTTCACTATGAGTAAAAGGTATTCATTTTTTTTGGTAAGTAAAAAAAGGTATTCATGAAAGGTCTTAATCTCCGATTTTTTATTTTATTTTTGAACTCTTTATCTTTATGTTTGAAAATATTGATGTCGATTACCAATGTTAGTACTGTATTATTAAGGTTTATGGCCTTAAATTCAAAATAAATTGGTAATAAACATTTTGTTATAATAAATACTCCAAAACCGTTAATTTATGTAATCAAGTGGTTTCGTGATACATCAAATGTTAAAATATCCAATGTGAAAAAAACCTTTAATAATCATCCATTCACCATTACTGTGAAACGTATTAAACTTTGGACACTATTTCATTCACTTATCATCATAAAATATAAGTCGTTTACATTTGAAATTTCTTAATATATTTTATAAGAAAAGGAAAAAGAATGTTTTATTGATTTATTTTATAATTGTGATTTTGTTTCAACGTCCAGCAAAAAAATGTGATTTCGTTCCACATGTAAACGCAGATGCAAATACAAAGAGAAATTTTCAATACATGTTTTCATAAAGGGTTTGAAATTATAATGCGTTTTAATATAATATTAATTACAACCGTGTTATTATTATAACTATAATGATATTCAGTCGGACCAAAAGCAAGATTTGGAGGATCTGAATTGGTGTGGTCCAAAGGGATGTTACCACTCAACGAACTTCCACAATTACCAAAAAAAACTATGATAGATACGTTTATGATTTCAAAGAAGAATACCAAAAAAAAAAACATTTGCTTGGATTACTATACTGTCCTCTTTTTAGCTGAAAAACTTTGTCATCATCAAATTTTACACATCATGGAACGTTTTATATAAAAGTATCATGGCATTTGCAAAACAATTCTTGTTTTTCATTTTCATATAGCAATATACTTAAAAAGAATGATTGAACTTTGAAATACAAACAAGACATTTTGATCATTTATATTTAAGAATAAGATTTTCGCTAACTATCTTGTTTAAACTTTGTATGAAAATTCGTCTAATTCAATGCAGACAAATAAAGAGTTTATAATTTTTTTATTGCTAAATTCTACGTGAGTTCCTCACTCAAGGGGAAATAGTAAACTAAGTTGCACTATCAAACAACAAAAAGTAGTAGCTCAAATTACAAACTACTACTAGTAGTAGCTCAAATTATAAATGTTTATTACAATCTGAATACTAGTACCAGTAGTTGTTATAAAATAAAATAAAAACAAGCTGGATCTATGAGAAAAGCTATACGTCTCTCATGACTCTTGCCCATCGCCTAATGAAATTTTTTCCAATTTATATTTTATTTTAGTATTATAATGATTACCTCTTTTTGAGGGAAACAGAGAATTGAATGAACAAAAGAGTGAGAGGGAACATCATATTTAAGTTTCTGAACCGCTTCTCCCTTACCCCTTTTATACGTATCGATGCATTATATGCATATTTGTACTTTCATTTATGTCTACGTATCGATGCATTATATGCTATAATCTTTACGCTGCAATATATAAATGTATATAGTCTATACATGAAGAAATACAAAACAATTTTTTCCACGAAATAGAAGGAATTTAGAATGAGGAACTAGGACCACTTATTTCCCCTTACATTATGGTTACATTCACAAAAATTACCTTTTATCATAATATGTGACTGTCAATGTCTTAAAAAGTTCTATAAAAAACATCCTTATATACCTCGTTGAGATCTGATCTCCACCCTTGATCACTATAGTAATAACCAGATCTAAGGCGACATTTAAATTGGTTCTGTCTCTACTACCGGTTTTGGTTGCATGCTTACACCGTATTAACTCTTCTCCCAATGGTAAATGAAATTAAGATATAAACATTTTTCTAGTCTTCATATTACATTATTCAGTTTTCCTTTTACTAATGAATAATGTAACATGAATATTAGAGGAACTTTCTAATTCTATTTGTGTTTTCCTTTTAACTACAGTAGATGTTGTTGAATAATATTGATTATTTTCTTATAGTCGTTGATATTTTTTATTTTTGTACGATTAGAAACGAGTGGCATGTGCGCCATGTGTGCCCATTGACTTATAAAATTATTAAATCTCGCATCAATCATCGTATATCGCTCGCAGATTTTTCCCACAATCTCTGCTCACTCTTTCTTAGTTTTTAGACTTTTATTTTGTATCTATCTGCATGATTGTAACTTAAAATTGTGTATAATATACACGAAAGCTTTTTTTTTTTATAATCGATCAGGCTCAACCACAGTTACGTTGTGTTTTAATTTATGTCAAACCTACCGTCGTATATTTTCAAACTATATACAGGTATACAGAAATATATATACCGAAAATATTTCAAACCTATACTTACTATATATATATATAACTCTTAATTACCACTTGAGTTCATACTTAATAACAAACACACACACACACGTTACGTTATCAACACTCAAAGGAACTAATCGTTTGTATATATATGATACAAAAGTCGGTCTTCCTTTTGAATATGGAAACTCGCATATCTGAATTTTCCAGCTAATTATACCCAAAATGGTAGGTTCAAATACGAATATTAGCATAAATCATTGATCAAAAATAAATATTCTGAATTTTCTACAACAACCAACTTCTGTCAATTTCCAACTAGAACTAATAGTTTGACGACGTTTTATGATCGCCGATATAAAAACTTAAGTTACTTGTACTATTATGTACCTACCATATAAAAACGTTATTGAACTGTACTATTTTCATCATTTCATGATTTTACCACAATGTACCATCATCGCAGCTATCACACCGTAATGTCAATTTATAATCACCAAGGATGAATAACAATATCATATAAAATAAAATTGCTCTATATAATAAAACAAATGAGAACCTGCAGATCAGTGTGACTAATGGGGTCGATATTCCTCAAATCAATCAACTAAAAATATTCTAAATGAACAATAGCCACACTTTCCTGAAGTGGACAGTACTAAGCTACTAGCTCGATTTACTTCATAACTATGAGTATATATATACATAGAGAATCTATGCCTTCATGTGTATATGTACGTATACTGTATACATATACATCTGAATAATGTCGTTCATTAATTGTTCAATGAATTCTTGTATAGTCACAACTGGGGGAAATAATTAAATTGAAGGAGTATTTTCTATTTATTGTGGTGGCCAATGGCCATATATAATAAATATCAAGTAAAGTGGTTTCTTAATTAATTATACTGGCGCCGAATCGAATATGACGTACTAACAGTCTTACACAGATACAATAACATATATATACATAGTTCTACACATATATATTCGTTCACAAAAATTTGATATGGTACGTGTACGTTTTATATTAAATCAAAATTTAATACCTTGACCCATTCGTATTAATTAAAATCTAATGACATGGACAGCCATCTCAATTATGCTTTCATGCCTTTATTTTTCCTCTCGAGAAGGAAACAAAAAGCTTAATGACATTTAATTATGAAAATAATTGAAAGAGATGGCTTAATATGCCTTGGTCAAGGAGGTGTGAATCTTGTGTTTCTTTATTTTATTACTCCTAGTGTACTCGATTTATTTACGGCACGTGTAAACAAAATACCTCGAGCCGACATTAATTTGATTATTTGGACATAATTAGTTACTGTTGTAAGTCGTAACTACTAGGTTATTTACTCGAAAAAGTGACATTCTTTTAATTTAGAAACAAAAATTCTGACAAATCTTTAATAGACCCCAAAACCTACTACCCTATAATATAGGCTTATAGGTTAATGGGGGTGGATAATAATGTATAGGAATGTATATGGTTATGTCGATTAAGAGTTATTTTTGTAAAATGTGCTTTCAAATTTTAAATTAAAATTGTACACGAAAGAAGTTCTAACTACTTCTTTATCAAAATTTTAAAATTTACATAAGTAATTTAATTACCTTAAAAATTTGAAAAATTACATAAGTAATTTAAATAGTAGTATATGGATTAGAAATATATATAAGAAAATGATATTTAGTCTGACAAAAAAAAAAAAAAAAAAAAAATGTTGAAACAACATTTTTGTATGGGTTCAATCCGAGTCTTGCCATCATATTCGTACTCTATTTCTTAATTTTACCAATCAAACATATTTACGAAAAAGAAAAAACTCTACGAGAAATAGAAAGAATAGATGCTAAATTTTAATTTTAATATATGACGACGTGACACTAACTCAAATTTCGTTTGGACGAATAAAAGTAGAAGATGGGAAATTCATGTGTTAAGAGGTGACGCACATGCACGAGGGTCGGGCCATATTAGACTACAAAGTAAAAAAAAAAAAAAAAAATTTCAACGACTTGCCATGCAATTAATTTTTGTTCTTTTTTTCCCCAATAAAAAACAATTTTTTTTATTAACAAATTTGTTGTTTATGTACATAATAAATAAAACCATGTTGTTTCTCATTTATTTTCACATGGAACAACAAAACTGGTTCGCTGAAACTGTGAATCTCAATAATATCTTTTTGTTCCATGGACCCCATTCCACACTGCCTCCTTCGTTTTATTATAAAGAAAAAACATTACAATTTTTTTTTCTTTCTTGTATTTTTTTCCTTATAATATGAAAAAGACAAAGAAAAAAAAGATTGTGGAGGAATATTAATACAGCCCACTTCACATCTATTTTTGTGCAACCATCTCTCTAAAGCTTCTCTCATAACAATGGAAAGACAAATCAACATAGAGAGTAGTGTTTCTCAAGTAACCTTTATCTCCTCCACCGTCTCCGCCGTATCTTCCTCCTCCTCCGTCACCGCTTCCGCCTCATTGTCCTCTTCACCTACAACATCTTCTTCTTCTTCATCATCATCAACAAATTCTAACTTCATTGAGGAAGACAACTCTAAAAGAAAAGCATCTCGAAGATCATTATCATCATTAGCCTCCGTTGAAGACGATGATCAAAACGGTGGAGGAGGAAAACGGCGAAAGACCAGCGGTGGAGATAAACATCCGACGTATAGAGGAGTAAGGATGAGGAGTTGGGGAAAATGGGTATCGGAGATTAGAGAGCCAAAGAAGAAATCAAGAATCTGGCTCGGGACTTATCCAACGGCTGAGATGGCAGCTCGAGCTCACGACGTAGCGGCTTTAGCCATTAAAGGTACAACGGCTTACCTCAATTTTCCGAAATTATCCGGCGAGCTTCCTCGTCCAGTCACAAATTCTCCTAAAGACATTCAAGCCGCCGCCTCTTTAGCCGCCGTTAATTGGCAAGATCCGGTCAACGATGTGAGTAATTCTGAAGTAGCTGAATTAGCTGAAGCCGAGCCGAGTCGAGCCGTGGTGACTCAGCTGTTTTCTTCGGACACAAGCACGGCGACGACTCAAAGTCAAGAGTCTTCGGAAGCTTCGTGTGCTTCGACGTCGTGTACGGACAAAGACAGTGAAGAAGAGAAGCTGTTTGATTTGCCGGATTTGTTTACCGATGAGAATGAGATGATGATTCGAAACGATGCGTTTTGCTATTATTCGTCCACGTGGCAGCTTTGTGGAGCTGATGCTGGGTTTCGGCTTGAAGAGCCGTTTTTCTGTCTGAATGACTAAATTACCCTTTTGGGAAAGCTCACTAACACTTGATTAATTTACTCTTTTCTTCTTCTTCTTTTTCTTCAATTTCTCTATTTACGTTTGATTTTTTTTTTTCAACTTGAGTGATATTGATTTTTTGTAAAGAAACGAGTTCATTTTGATTTTCTAGCAAATGTGTGGTTGTGTAATACAAATGTAGTGAGAACATGTTGAAAAACTGCAGAATAATATAATTTAGGCTTACGAAAATTATGAACTAAAGAACAAGAACATTAATAAAAACCCAATTTTGTTGAACACTCGGTCATGATTTTCACAATTTTTTTTTTTGGTCTTTAGACTCTATTTTTGTTAAAATTCAATATGAATTTTTTCACAAAGATTATTATTTAATTTATCAAATACTCCTTTGTCAAAATAAATACATTTTAGCCTAGCTAATCATTACAATATAATCAGAGTAATAAAATGAATACCATATTATTGATGTAGTACGTCTTGAATTTATTTTTAAATCCGTTCTTTATGAAATTGAACGAGTATTAGTACAGTATAATACAATTATACAAACAAGTATGAAAGTTAACAATAGTAATTTAGTAAAAGACGTATCTGGTTGATTAATGCAGTTCTCTTTTTCAAACTCTTTAATTTCTCTCTAGTTACTGGCTACCGCAATTACTAAGGATTTTGCTATTTTAAGTCCATTAATCAATTTAATAAATTTTATCAAAAAAAAATGTAATAGTTCACTTGTTGACAAAAATCGCTATATTGTTCACTTAATTATTAACATGCATATTTTCTTCTATTTGTAAAGGGTTTCATTAATTAACGCAGTCACACGTAATCCACGTTCTTGGGCTAGTTTTATAACTACCTTTTCCTTTACGGATTAATATGTCATATATAACGTATGAGTTTTGATAAGATGATGATTGTGAAAATTGACAGTGAAGAAGACAAACTTTTGATAAAATTATTATATAAAACAAATCAAATTTAGGTGTTGGAAAATAACATGAGTCACATGGTGATGATGTCTTTGGTTCTTTTATCTACAACTTTTACATTTTTTTGTTAATTTTAGTTTATACTGTTTCAGTGTTTTTTACTTTGTTGTTTGTCCACTTCTTTAATATATATATGTCAAAAGTGAAAGGATATAAAACTGTAATAAGGTGATTGCTTTTGGCCAACACCTTACTTTGTTCACCACTATGAGGCAATTTAAGACTGTTATTGATTCCCAAACATATTGGACCCTTAGATTTGAGAGTGACAAATAACTTCATTATATATATATATAATTGTTTTTTTTAATAATACGTTTTTTTTTGTCATAACATATAACAGTAAATGGCAAAATAGGTGAAAACCCACTACATGAAACGATTTCCTCACATAGGTTAGTACTAAACAAACAAACAAAAAAATCGAATTAAACTCATTATATAATTTCACATCTTTCAAAAAAAGAATTATCGTCCACAATAAAAATCTTATTATACTCATATATGAAGTGTATTCATTTTTTTTTTTTTTTGTTAAAGATATGAAGTGTATTCATTCAATGGCTAAGTTTACTTTTGAGATTGGAACTCGACTTTCATATCGAAGGGAGAAAAAGGTAATTAGATTTATAATTGCCTTGAAAAATGGTAATATTCGAATATAAATTTATCAAAAAAAAAAATTCGAATATACATGTATATATATTGATTTGGTGAGACTTAGGGATAGTTGAAGACAGGTCATTAAATAGAAACATAGTGGGTGTACGAGTGAGCTCACTATCATTATCTCAAAACATATGTAGTAATAATTAATTGCTGGGTTAATTTTCTATTTTCTCATGATTTTAAGGTTTGAATGTATGTAGACAATTACAACACATATTTTTGAGTCTCCATTTTATAGCAGCCTATGATCAATTACTATTATTTATATCGCGGTCTGTATACAACGTTAGGTACATACGTACCCCTCCACAATTCCTAATCTACCATTTGTGTTTCTTTTTTGGAAAATTCTGATTGTTATTGAAATGGGATTATATATAAGACTTTAGTTTTATGTAGTATATAACTTTCCGACCTGAAATGCATTTCATCTGTCAACTATCGGTCTATCGCAACCGTCTATCGGACTATACAATTTAAAACAGTTTTAACTCTAATTTTGAAGTGTAGCAAAAAAAATTTGATTTTCAAAGAAAGTGTGTGAGTCATCTATATCACTTTGTATTTTATTAGAAAACCCATGAAGGTTTGTTAAAAGTTATAGTTTCAATTTCACCAATCAAATAGCACTGATTTTGTGTAAAATCCAGAAATCAAATATATATTTTAAACATTTAACTTATACTATAAAATAACAGAATTTTTTTTTTTTTTTTTTTTGGGCAACAAAATAACAGAAAATATTTATACTTATATAATTAGTAATAAATCATAAACATAGTACTAGTTTTTGAAGATACAATATGTCAAATGGCGACAGTAAAATTTATATAAAGGCCAATAGATATTTCTTATAAACAAATATAGATACATATACACGAACCTGGATCGTTTGGACGATAACCTGACTGACAAAATACAAGAAGGTGAATTTGTTGTTTGGCATCTTGTGGCATGCAAACCTAACTATGGACAGATATTAATTAGTCCAATCACCTACGATTTTTAGTACATTATTTGCCACTGGTTCCGTATTATTGGACGGTACGACTATATATATTATCTATTCTATTTTACTAGTATTGTGTGAAACTAATAATATCATCTAATCCAAAACAAAAAAAAGGAACCCTATGTAGTATGTACCAAGAGGCAAGAGAGAGAGCAAATGATCTGGAGTGTACTCCATTCGTTTCAAAATATAAGGCGTTTTAGCTAAAAGCACGCCGATTAAGAAGATCTACTTTTTTAAAAGTTCAACCAACCATAAAAGAGACTACATAATAAAAATAATTATAAATATTAAAATAATATATAATTTGCATAGAAACTTGAAAACGTCTTATATTGTGAAACAAAAAAGTTTCTCCAAAACGCCTTATATTTTGAAACGGAGGGAGTATTAATTAGCTCCACTCTCTCACTTGTATTTCTTAGAGCAATTAACCAGATTTATTGATTTAAATTATAAATATATAGACAGTACCCAATTAATGATTAATAACCGTTTATTAGTTGTTGAAAAGAAGAAGATCGACTGGTTGTATATATGTCAAAGATCAGCTTAGTTCCCGTTGATGAATTAGATAAGTTTTGAAAATAAAACAAAAACTTAACTTTTTTTAATTATAAATTCGAATTATTTGGATCGAAACAGATCGATCTTGTCTCGTGAATAATCTTCGTACTAGAATTTGGAGGGCCTCAAGCTAAATATTTATTTCAACAAGTACAATAAAATAATAAAATCTGAAATGTTAATATGTTGTGTAAGAAAAATCAAGTTCCACAAAAAAACATAATTGAAGAAAATGGAGTAGTGCTTTAGGAAAAGCAATTAAGATACTAAGTGTATGATTGTTTTCCTCTTTCGTCAAAATTATGCTTTAAAAAGAGAAAGATGCAGGTTGCCAGTTTCTCGTTCACTTATTTTATTTATTGTTGGGTTTAGCTATTTTCTTTCTCTCTTACGGTTTTTTACCAGAAAAAAAGGCCACTGTATAATAATGTTCCATAAATATATATGAAGAATTATATTTTGGCTCTAAGAATATGTTTGTTCTTTTTAATTACTAAAATTTATTGACTAAAAACCAAATATATCAGCCTTACTCATAAACTAGATCATGATCTGATCCGTGCTACAACATATGAATTATTTTCGATAGGTGTGAAAAATTACATCTACACTAAAACATATGAATTATCATCAGACTTGCGTTCATGTATAATACGTTTTTTTCCCAGACTTTTAACGGAAACAAGGAAAACTAATTATTACTGAATATTTTGCTAAAGATTCTTATGTATATTTACATTGTTAAATAGTATAGTAAGGAATTTCCTTGCTATAAGAAACGTATTTGATTTCTCTATTATTATAATGAATGGTCTTGTTCGTAACACAAACATATTTCTACCTTTCACCACTTATGATTTTTTTAATCTAATTCGTGATATATATAAATCCCGATAGATAGAACCAGAATGGAGCTAAAACATGTGATCTTTATCTTTGGGAATAAAGTGGCTAAAAAAAGAAAGAAAAAGCAAGCAATTAGAGAAAGACCAAACTCAAAGCAGTAGCAGAAGAATAACAATAACAAGAAGAAAAATAACTAAGAGCATATGGTTCAAATACATTAACTCTTTCTTTTCAACTCTCAGTCATTTTTTTAAAGAAAAGAAAAGAGAAAAAGAGCATGTGCGGCAAATACCAATGATCATGTCTTGCGAATAAAAAGAGAGAAAAAAAAACCAATGAAAAAAAATATGGTTCAAAAAGGAAAAGAAGTTGAATGTCAAAAAAAGAAAAGTATGGTTCAAAAAAATTATACATGTTTTAAAGTATTCATAAATGCTCTTTATCCTTTTTTCTTAATAAGATTTTCTTTTACATAGTACTGTAAATTCTACAAGGTAAATTGGATTTTCGAAACAAAAAAAATTGTATCGAAAATCTGTGAAACAAAAACAAAATCTTATAACGAGACTTAAAATACTTGAAATGTAATGCCTAAGGAGCAAGTATTAGTGAGTGGGAAAAAATGGTATTTGAGGTCGTCTAAAATACTCTCACGGTACATTCCAAAGTTATATGTAAAGCTCAAAATTGACAATGCATGAAATGAGTCGAGTCTTTTTTCTTACACTTTTCATTATTGGTTCCTAACAGTTTCTATCAATTGTTAATCTGGATTTGTCCCAACATGAATACATAATAACTTTGAGTTTTCTTAGATAGGGCCTAGTACTGCTAACCAACTTTTACAAACCGTAATCACAGAGATAAACATTACACTACTCTCACTTAAATTGGAGATCCATCACTAATATATCTAATTCCTACGTAGGGATTCTGAAAGACCATCTCGAATCATGATTCCTAGGATCAAAGTCATTGGAGATGGCAACAAACAAATTGGATTGCAAATTATAATTCATCGCAAATGGTACAAATATCCAAAATCTTGCCTCGTGTTTTATAAATTGAGAATCTTAGAACACACGTTTGGATCATACAACAAATGTAAAACAAAAAGAAGATTAATTGAAAAATCAATTGCAGAAACCATGTTCCAAATTACAAACAAAAAGGAAGGATAGCCAAAGACATAAACCCTAAAAGTGTTACCTATTCTCTATCACATGATCAAAAATCCCACAATGGTTCCTCAAAACTTCTGATTTGCCATATACCATTATTCTTCATGACCTTTCCCAATAAAAGAGAGTAATAATTACAGAGAGATCTAATGTTTATCCTATATGAGAAAAAGTACCTGTGTGTGGTTCACAGTTTCATCATACATCATCATGCTCAGAGAGTTTTGGTGCGGTCATATGTAGATAGGTTTAATATCATTAGGTCCAAAACTTGCTGAGCATGTTGGACACTTTTTTTGCCGAGTTCCTGTGAGCTTTTGCACACATGGGTTACAGAACAAATGGTAGCACTTCGTAATCACCACCTGGTTTATTAAGACAAAGACCAAAACCAATCAGCAATCACGAACGCAGTTGACTAAAAGATTCAAAAGATCACCATTTGAGCACCTTGCTGAGATATAAAGAATGGAGAGCAGTGAGTCTTTACCTCTTTTGGGCGATCATTGCAGGCCTTACACTTCAGAATTTCTTTGAATTCACTGAGTTCTTGTCGGAGCTTTTGAATGGCCGATGATCCTTCTATGAGAGACCGAAGACGAGAAACTTTCTTTTTGGCTATTTCCATTTCCTCCTCTATCCTTCTCCTGTTGAACCTGATATATGCAGAAGAGAATGATACCTTCATCACTAACACTTGTTTACGATTATTAGGATAGAGAAGAGGGAGCAATTAATTTACCTTTCAATCTCCAGTTCCAGTTCTAATGCCCCATAATCCACCCGACTTTGCTCAACTTTAGAATGGGACTCCTCCATCCTCGACCTAGCTTGTTCCAAGCCATTCCCAATGTCTGCACGTTTCTTTTGCAGATTTTCAAGAGAAACAGACTTTTGATATTTATCTTCGGCTAGTTTCTGAAACTGATCTGTGCAGAACCTCAACTGCAAGAAAAAAAAAAACACCTTAGTCAAAGTCTCACAATAAGGAGGCTTACAATTTGAGTATACAGGCACACACAGATATACCTGATCTTCAATTCTTGATGATTTCTTAGATAGGAAACTGGCATATGCACTGCCTTGCTGTATATCCTTATCCATGATGTATTTATCGATAAGCAGAGTATCTTGCATCTGCCTTGAAGTTATGCCTTCCAAGAAAAGCTAAAACAACAATGGCCGAGCAAAAAAATACATCTCATAGTCAGATCCAAGTAACAAACCATCCTTTTTCATGATATTCTTGCAAAACATACAAGGTATAACAACAGAAATAGGTCCATGCCCATTAACACGATCCATCAATCTCTAACTAAATGTAACACTAGTAGATATAAGAGTAAGTGTGAAGTTACAGAGATAGCTCAGATAGAGGAACTAGAAAAGTTTGGACTCGATACCTTGATGTTATAGTCATCCCTCTCTGTAACTTGAAGCAAAAGCTGTTGGTTTTGCGGTACAATGTCCTCGTAGGCACTTCCAATTGTCTAAAAGAAGATAGTTACTGTAAATCAATACCCAACATCAAGGTTTTTAAAATGTGTTAAGAACAAAGGAACACGAAAATTCATAAGCCAACCTGTATTTCAGAAAGATATGTTCCATGTTCTTCATGTTTAGATTTCAAGATATCAGAATGCTTGGCGACATCCCTGAAACAGAAAAGACCTATCCTTGTCAAAAAATAAAGGTCTCAAAGAATTCCTATGGAAGAAACTGCGTGATTGCATCTATAAATAGCAGAGGATGAGTTCTACTTATACTTATATACCGTTTACAATCATCCATCTTCTGCCTTAAATCAGCAATCTCTGCTTCTGCAGCAGCCAACATTTGTTGGGAAACGGCTTCAGCTTCATTTGCTGCCTTAACGCGCAACTCCAGATTTTGCTCATCAAGGGATGATTTCAAACTCTGAACATGAGCCCAAGCCCTGTACTCCTGTTCCTTGGCTTCAGCTATGTCCCTGCCACAGCACAATATCGACAGTAATGCTTAAGGCAGTGTACCAAGCGCATTATAATAATGTGTGTTCAGCCAAGATAAGAAGATAAACAAATCCTAACACATCCAAAAGAGAATTTTATCAGATGGAACTGTAAAAATAGATCAGATATTAAAAGCTGTCAAGGATAAATTGGCAATGTGAACAGAAGTTTATTCAGAAACGCAAGAAAAAATTAACAACAAACTTTCTGCAAGATTCGATAGTTCAGTCAAAAGGCAAGATTAATAACAGCACTTGTTGTTATACTATATATTCGGCCAGATAGAAGGGGAAGATAAGGAAACTTTTCTCTAAGAATTGAAATCTTAGATATCGACCACTGGATTTGTTACATATAGTTGTGCTTACCTCGGATCAGTGGACTCACGTTTATACATGTCCAGAAATAACTTTAACTCCTCATGACTGTTCTTCAAATCACAAACCTGCATGACAGACTCCAATCAATTGAAAGTAAAGAACATAACAACTACCTCTTTGCCAACAAAAGACATTTAACAAGATTTAAATTGCTAATCAGACTTTTAGCTATACTTTTTCCAAGACATAATGCAAATAACAATAACCAATATGAACACCGTCAACATATAAGTCATGGGCAGTACACTGAAAAAGGTAAATATATTGCACCATACCGTAGCGTTCAGGTCGCCTAACTGAGAAGCATAATCAGCTGATGTCAAATGCAATGCTTCACACTCTTTTGTCTGTTCACCAATTAAGCTAATTAAGTAAGCATAACATAAATTGTAACAGCATCAATCATTGTTCACATTATTTCCCACCTTCCTACATAGAACCCCAGAGAGGGACTGGACATCAGCCCGTAGAGAATGAATACCTCCAGCAGTCTCTTTATAATTGTCCAATTGACTACGCATGGAACTCATTTCCTCGGGGAACGAAGAAATTAATGCCTTCATATCTGCAAAGATTTCTTTTCTACCTGACATACGAATCACTTAATCAGACTCCAAAGTGAGACAGGGGTGGGTGGGAGATACAGAATTAGAAGTCAAAGTAATCAATTTGTGACCTCGCTCTCTTGATATATTTCCCAGCCTAGTCTTGATTCGCATTTTTTCATCCAGTTGTTTCTGTATCTCCGAATCTAAAGAAGCCATTCTGGAATCAGCAACAGCAGAAGTCCTTCGAGAAACATCAACTAGTTCATTTTTTATATTCATCTCCCTTTCCTTCCAGACTATACTATCTTTTTCAACCTGAAATTTTCGAATGGAGGAAAGCTTCACAACAAAATATACAACATAAATTTTATAAACATAGATACAATATGAAAATCGCAATCCAGATATAACCTGCAGTTTCTCAAGTAAAGCCATATACTGGAAAACTGCTTCTTTTGATTTTGTTAGCTGGTCTTTTAAAGAAAGGCAGGCTTGAGAAGATGAGATGCACCTCACAGACTTTGACTTGTTCTGTTAGAAAACTCTTACATCAGTTTTAGCAATAGGAAGAAGGTACCATTCCACAAATTTTCATACATCAAAACCCTTGCAGAAATAAACTAATACATGTAGATACACCAATTGGATCATACACTAACCTGTAAATTACTCATTTTTTCAAGCATCTTTGTCCTCTCCTCATGAAGATCTTTTAGCTCTTGTAGCCTGCCTGAAGCCAGGACCTACAGAATTCAGGCCGATATCAAACCAAAATTCAAAGCATTACTAATGAAAACAAATCAGAAAAACAAATATACCGTTAACTCTTTCAGAACTGTTTCCATGTCGTGCAGATCCCTTTGTTTATCCCTTTCCCTATCACTGGTAGCAAGCTTATTTCCAAGGCTCAACACTGGGAAAAACGCCCCTGCTGTTGCATCTCTTTCTGCTCTCAATGCTGACAAGTCACCATTACACTGCTGAAGCTCCACGACCTCATCCTCTAGCTCCCCTTCGAATAGACCGAATAAAGTATAATGTCAGTTGATACGGAAGTCAAAAAGCATTAATCCTTAAGCAGGAATGTAAACTAAAATAAATTAATCTCTGTTTGAATTTCTTAATTGGCTACTGTCAGGATTGAAATCTCACATCATAAGGTAATCAGGTAAGATTTTAAGATGCTTCATTTATATGGATGTATGTCATTCTCAAAGAATTACCAGCTTTTCTATCTCCTAAAATGTATCGAAATTTATTAATATGGGTATCTCAAATGGTATGAAATAAATCTAAGAAGGTCATGTCTCAAAAGGGTTTTGTACACCCATAAGTTCACTAATGAGTATATCTTCCACAACTACATGTCTTGTTAACAGCTAGCTCTACCAAAGAGGTTTTCTTCCAGTCTAAATATCTCTCTCTCTCTCTCTTCAATCTTAATCTCTATGATCTAAATCCTATCATGGCTGTTAAACACCTGAGCAGTGCCAAGCGTGGAATTGGACGATTCACAATTTGATCACCTCTACTTACACTTATCCTCATCAATCAAAAGCGAGATATGATTTCAGTAGCTTTTCATGTGAGAGGCGTGGAATTGGACGATTCACAATATAGATTGACCTTTTTCTGTCAAGGCACGCATATGAATACAACTTTATATTTGATGCATGGGTAAGATGTCCATATAAACAGTGCCAACAAAAATATGCATTTAACAGTATATAGTCGAGTGAGACGAGACTAAGTAGCTACCTCTTATTCGTTTGAGGTCTGCTCTAACTTTAGCATCAGCATCGCGATGACTCTGCAATTCTCTAGAAAGTGATTTGAACTTCACTAGTACATCATCTAGATCCCCTCTGAAACTTTTAATTTCTGATTCCAACTCACTCAGAGCTAGGTGACTGCACAAATCTAGAAAAGAAAGCAATTCCATATAGGACCTGGGTTAATACTAAAATGTTATAAAGGCCATAACAAGAGCTGACAATCGATCGCAGTGGAAGTCATACCTTTACCAAGACTGCTTCTGAGAACTGTGGGATACAATTCATCCTTCAGAGACCTCAAATCATCTGTCGCGGCTACTAGGTTAGACAAGGTTTGCGTCATCTGGCTTGACGTATTCACTCCATTTTCTTCCATCCGATTCGAGCAGATATTGGATGAGGAGCTCTCAGTGGCACCAGTTTCGAGTAGCCGGTTGATGAAATCGTTTTTCACGGCTGGAGAGGACCCATCTGCGTAGCAATTTTACAGTTTTCCTTTCAACAAGTCATATTTGTAACATATAACACAAAATTTAAACTAGATCCTAGCACTAACAGAACAAAGAAGAGGCGGGCCAAGCTGTTCATACCCTCCTTGTTTACAAACCTATGAGCTCCGCTGCTTGAATCACTCACACGAACAGAGCATGATTCCACTGTAGCTTTAAGCTGCTATACAAGCGTTAACTAGATCTCTTAGAATATTTTTTTTAGTTTTCTTTTGGTAGAGCGGGCAGGAGTAGAGGAATTAAATTTATGTTAGAATCCAAAGCAATTACCTTTTCCCAAGACTTATGGACAGTCTTCAAACTGGAGCTGTATGGTAATTGTTTTTCCTTGATCTGAGAAAGTTTATCCTCAAAAATAGAACACTCAACCTGCTGAGCCTCTAGCTTTTGCGATAGCTGTAGATTTTGGAACTGAATAACTGCAGTATCAAGCTGTATCAAACAAAAACAAACTCGTTAAGAGAGAGAATCCCAATTCCAAAATAGATTGCTACACAAATTCAAGAATTCTTTACAGATTCGAGGCCAATGAAGTTAAAACAGAAGAAAACAGCTAGAACAAAAGACATTCAGTGCGAAAACAGCATATGAATCTCTAATAGCTGGAAATCTATGGTTGATTAGATAAGTAAGAGAATATATATGTAAAGGGCATGCACAAAGGTAGATGAAGAAGAAAGAACCTTGTCCTCGGAGGAGGGCCAAAAGAAAGGCTGTTTCTTTACGGCGGCTGCAGCTTCAGAGGGTGATATGGAGCTAAAGTGACGCCTTTTACGGTCAGGCTCGCCTGTGCTCGCCATTCAAAAACCCTAGAATCGGCCAATAACAGGATTAAGCTTGTGTCACATCATCATCAGATTGAGTTTGAGGAAGCTCGAATACAAATCCCCCCAAACCCAATGAGAAAACCCTAAACGATCCAAGCTACGTGATTGCTTCAACCGAGGTAATTCAATTGCTCCGCAACTCCCCTCGGAATTTAAAAAAAAAAAAAAGAAACCCTAATATCTCACCGGTCTTCCAAATTCGACCAAACTCTAATCTTGTCTGATCTTTGTGCGACTAAAGATATTACAAACACCCAAAGCACTCTCTCGCCAACACACAGCACTCACAGAAACAAAAACAAGAGTGAAAAGAGAGAGAGAGAGAGAGAGTTGAAGTTAATTCGAGTACGATGGCGTAATTTTGTGAACATCTGGAGGGCAATTTGGGAATTAAATTTCATTCCACTTACAGGATATAAGCATCGGCCGTCCATAGAATCTCCAACGATCCGAGCCGTACGATCCCGGTTCGTTGATGGCTTTCAGAGAAAAACAAAACTAATCTTCGATTCTAAAATAAATCATCAACAATAAAAGAAAAAATAAGCAAATTAAATAAGTAGTCTTATAAATATAAACTACTGTTTGTACTAATGTTGTTGTCGTGTGATTCAAACCTGATAGTAATTCTTGTGTGAATTGTATAGATCATACAGAAAAAAAAAGATACAACAAATACAATAGTCTTAAAAATAAAACAATTTAAAGTAGAAAGGACACAATCTGGTTTATCAATCGTTTTTGGTCGCAAGTTTTTGTTGCTTCTCTTCCTCAACTTGGACAAGCAAAGTCAAGAGAGCCTCGCAAACTTGAGCAGCATCAGCTTCTAAAGCACCCTCGTTTAAGGAAGAGTAAACCATCCAGGCATGGTCTAGTTTACGTTTGGGTCTAACAACCACAGAACCAGGAACCTCTGCGTCACAGCAAGTCACTAAGCCGTCACTCTTTTCACCGTATCTGACTTGAAGCAGCTGAGCGCAAGCAGCCATTGCAGCACCAAGTGGCATTACCACTGGCAGTTTTGCGGCTTGGTTTGTCAGAGGGAGTTCCGCGTGTGCTACGTGTGACAAAGTGGACAGAACCGCTGGGCTAATGCTAGCTTCTGTGCGGAATGAAACCGTGGGGAGTTCTCGGGGAAGCGGATGATTCTTCAAGAACTCTTTTCTTCTCTCATAGGTTAAATCTTCCAAAGCTTGAATGTCACCCTTCACAATATCCCAATGAATTCATCAGAAAAATCTTAAGATCAGAAGAGTAGAATCCAGAAACAAAATAAGTTTATGAGAAATATCCAAATATGTCCTTTTCGGGTAACTTAATTGTCACTTGCATTTGTTCACACAAACTTACTTATATACCTTCGAGTTTACCCGTTAGTATGGGGGTTTTAGATATAAATGTTTTGGTCATAACTACAACCCAAAACAAATCTCATGGTGCTAGTTGCGGTAAATGTTCCAAGTGCTATTTTTTAGTTTATCCCTAGTTTCTCACCCCCTATATTCGGTTCCACCAACCTAAGGATTTTAACAGGTAATCACAGGAAGCTGATATAATGCAACTGAAATGACTTTATTAGATCAGGAAGCGACATATTGCAAACCTTTATGACTTTGGAGATCAGAATCTCCATCATCTTTCTCAGATTGACGTAATCACCTAGTTGTCCTTCACGGAGGATATCAGTAGCTATTGGGCTTCCACCATATGGACTCTGCGCCAATACCAAACCAGCGACCTTATCCTTTAGATCAGGCCAGTATAGTGATAAAGCAGCAGCTGCATCTATGCCTCCTTTGCTATGCCCAAGAAGTAGAACCCGCTTATTAGATCCCCAACAGAGTTCCTCTATGTATTCCTTTATCTCTCTTGCATTTTTCTCAACCGAAGACTGATATACAAACATTTTCCATATATAAGTATGATTTACACCAAACGTAATTGTATTAAGTTGAGTAATTTATAATTACCTCGCTGTGAATCTTCGCAATATGACAGGCCAAACCCATCTTTGAGAATTTCGTTTTCGTATCCACAAAATATAGAGGTCCATGATTGCTGAAAAGACCTGAATTTTTTTCCAACAAATGTTGTGAGTCCAACAATATAAAGTAATGTAGTCTAAGTGGCTGGCAGCAAAGAATAAGAATTGCTACCTGGAACCAACAAGTACACCACTGTATTTGGAAGCCTGTGTACACCATGCCTGGATATGAAAAACCGATCAACGCAGCCATTCAGTAAAAACAGGATGTTAAACAGCATATTAAAAAGACCCAAGTACACAAAACATGCAACTACAACAAATCCATACCCGATGTCCTCCAGAATTTTATTGAACCTCTCAGTTCCATCTTCAACAGGAGGCATCTCCGGGTCACGCTGTAGCCATCCTATGTCATCTGCCGAGCCACGGACAGTCCTCCGTGCCCGCTCAATGAGCCTGATTGAAAGAAAATAGATCAATCACCCAAATGCTGAAAACTTGACAAGAAGTAGTGTATAGAGATTATAGTATTGCTTCAGTTTCACATATTCATAGTATTAACATTTTTTCATATCTCCTAGTATGGGAAATTTGTGTCTGTAATACAAAGTATACATACCCTTGGAACATCGAAATTCCATTAAAACCTAACCGATTCGAAGTCACTATTGCATTTGTTGCCTGCGGCAGAGTCTCTGTAGATTCCCTAGACGGGCTGTTGGCAGCAGATGTAGATGCCTCTGAAGAAGTTGAAAACCTTTCACCAGGCGAAATGCATACACTCACTGGGGAATTCCCATCAACTCCTGATGTTGATCTTATCAACTCATGGGGGTGTGAAATAGAATTACATGAATCCTTGCCACCATATTCAACTGAAGAAAACATTGGAAGAACAGATTGTAAGCAAAAGCCTGAATTATGTTACGGTGACGAGGTCGCTGTATAGTGAACGAAATAAGATCCTAAAGCCATAAATATCTGCTAAGCCTTTTTTTCAATAATTAAAGCCTAGCAGATGAACATGGAATTGCATGCTGAGTACAAGATCAACAGAGAGAAAGGGTACCTGAATAGTCAGAAAAACAGCTGCCCAAGTAAGACGTTGCTTGGGTTATATAAGAAGCAGCTTCATTGAGAGCTGGTAAAGAATTAAACACTTGTGGTGCAACCGCATTGTCCACAGTTCCACCGCCCTTGACCACAGAAAAATTACTGGTATTAGAAAAGCAGTCTCAATGCATAACATCCTCTTACTAATATCCTCTTGAACCCATCTTAATCAACTCAGTTGATACAGAAACCTTATTACCAAGAAAACGTTAAATTGACTTCAAACAGAATCCCATTAACATGAGCGCATAAAGCAAGTGTAGGTTCTGAAAGTATTATCTAAAAAGTGAGAAAAGGAAGTCATCAGGGCACAATACTTACAACAAGAGGCGTAACAGATTCTCCGTCTCTGGATTGACCAGCTTCTCCCATTCTGATCAATTTCTAAAAACACAAACAAACACAGAATCAAATAAAAGCAACAGATGTGAAAAATAATTAAAATGTTTCATATATTCATTCCAATGAAACAACAACAAGTAAAGAAGAATTGCAAAGACAACCTCTGATTGCTTTTCCAAATAATCAATTTCAAAATTTAAGCTTCCATGTTTCTTCTATAAATTCGGAAAGCACCGATTTAAACTGATTAACGAAGGTTACTTAGCATGTAGGAATACCAAATCCAGAAAACAAAAATTAGAAAAGAAGACGTGAAAAATAGAAATCCAGCGGGAAGAGACTCGAATCCGGTTAATAAAACGGCAAGCAAAATTAGGAATTGAGAACATGCAAGTGTGAAACCACAGAAGCTCTATGTATCGACCCCTAAACTTTTCCATCGATGACAAATAAAACAACAAAGTTGATAACCGGATCCAAAAATCGGCAACGAGTTTGCGAATAACCGAATCAGGAAGAAGAATCAACTAATCAGAATTCGGGAAACGAAGAAAAGGTACCTGAAGCTTTAAGAATGTGGGATCAAAACGAAACATACGCACAAGGAGACAGTTTCTTCAACGATTCGGATCATATTTTCCTACGCCGCGGGGAATAGAAACCTGGTGAACAAATAGAAACGCGATTTCAATTTTGACGACCAACGTGGAATCAGAGGCAGTGGAGACGCAACACGTGTAAATTGGCTCAGTGATCAAGATTAGGCTTTGTAATATTTAAATATTAATTCATATGGGCCACTACTGGGCCTATGAATAGGCCTTACAACAACAAAACGACACCGTATTAAATGCACTCACAAGTGACTAACATACATACATTGTCAAAGACTCGAAACAGACTATCCCACGAAGTGAGAGACTTAAGATCGACGGTAATAGTACCTACAAGAAAGCAACAAAAACGTCGGAGATGAGTTTGCTTTGGATTATTCAAAAGAAAGAAGACGGGCGCCAAATAGAAACTTACACGAATATTTTGACGGCGAAAATGGAGGAGTATTTGCGAAGAAGACGTTCAACAGTGTACCATTGAGATCGGTCTGATCCGTCTTGGTAACCAATACGTGGCATGTGGAGTGAAGCTTTTGGGGAGATAACATTACAATACCAGAATGAATGACAACATAAGTGTTAAGCTCTTTGGGAACACTTTTGTTTTTCATTCCAAATACTGTATGATGAAACTTTGAAGAAAGCAATGAAGTTTTCGTACCTGATTTCTGAGAAGCAGAGAATGAAGCTTTGGCTAAGCAACGTTCAAGGTCTGGAATTGAAATGCTACTCCGTGGGACTTTACGCCTCGGGTTATAAGATTGTGTAACTGCAACTGCCACCCAAAGAGGCTTACTTTCTTCTGTGTTTTGTTGGTCATCACTGTCTGCACAACACAAAATACATGAGAACTCGATGATGTTATAAGAAAATCCGAAAGGAAGATTAGAAAAAGAAAAAAGTTGCAGACCATCAATTTTTATGAGATGCAGGTCTCCAAGATGGAGGTCTTTAAACTCAGATGCTCGGTGATACGCATCGGGTACATTATTAGAAAGTTTTGACAGAGCATCAAACATTCCACCACGTCCCCAGTTTCCAGAGTCATCAACACAGCTGCCATAAATCAATATTTGGAAGTTTTAGAGCTACTTGAGATTTGGTATTTTAGTAGAGAAATTAAAATGTAGTTTTACCTGAATATGATTGCTGGCTCATGAGAGACTGTCGATGGATTTGTACAGTCTCCAAAGACAAAGTTAACAGATCCTGCATCTGAGCTGGAATCAACATCATCAGGGAAGATCGGTTCTTCCACAGACAAAGAACGATAACCGTGTGCTTCCCAACTGGCTAACTTCTTCTCTTCTGCCTTTTTCCTGGCAGCCTCAATTCTCAGATTTTTTTCCTCAGATAAGTTCTTTCTATTTCCCAACTCCATAATTTTGTCATCCTTGCTTGATCGTGAAGCTTCCTTCAATTTCTCAACCCATGAAAGGTAAGAAGCTTCATCAAGCTCGGAATCCAGACTTGTCGATGATGAATTTCCTCGCAAAGTGTCGCTCGAATCAATTTTAAACTTTCTTGCTTCCTTGTCCGGTTCAACGTTTTGACGTATTGCAACAACTTTCTCAGCAAGAGAACTTATTTCTACCATTTTCAGGTTATCAGACTCTTCACTGTGAATCTCCTCGGGATCAAACCTTTGTAAACCAAACACTAGAGACCGCAAATCACCACGATCTTCGTCTTTCTCTTCCATATTATCTCCCACAACATTATGACTAAGCTGCAACTTTCTCTCTGCCCTCCTCAAAATAACCTGAAAACACACGCATTTAGATTTTGATAATACTTTTTGATGACTTTGTGTTTGGAAACATTACGACAGACCTCTTCCACAGAATGTTCAGTAACGAGATTTATAGACAACACATGACTGATTTGTCCAATTCGATGAGCTCGTTGCAAAGCTTGTTTATCCACCTGTGGGTTCCAGTCTTGTTCATAAAATATAACCTGTAGATTAAAAGCACTTGAATAAGCACTAGAAACATATCATACTTATCTTCTCTATGCCAATGTATTCCATTTCCACAAGAAATAAAATGGAAAAAAAAGCCAGAAAAAACGAACAGTATCAGCAGCAACAAGATTCAAACCGACTCCCCCTGCTCTTGTAGAGATCATAAAAACAAAGGCATTGCTTGCATCAACTTCAGAATCCAATCCTCTTTCTGTTTTTGCACTGAAATTCTTTATTGCAGCAAATCGTTCTTCAGCCCGTACTGATCCATCAAGGCGCTCATAAGAATATCTACGAAGCTCCATAAAATCCTGTATTTGTTATAAGCTACATATCAGTGTAATCAATGATGCACAGATGTTACGGAAAATAATATATCTCTATAACTAAACCTGCAAAATGTCAAGTGTTGAGGTCATTTGGGAAAAGAGGAGGACACGATGACCAATATCATGGAGCCTCTTGAGCAATTGATCCAAAACTAAAAGCTTACCACTTGCCTGTTAGAACGCAATTATTAGTAAACAAAACATTTTATTCACTGGAAACATATAGCGAGGATTGTTTAAGTAGTTAGTTAGTGAACATTTGAACTACCTGAACAAGGTGTTCACCCTCTTCAAAAGGTTCCGGTTCAATACCTGGAAATAAGTAAGGGTGGCTACATGCTTTTCTAAGCTGTATCACCTGCTCAAGGAAAACAGATTGGGAGATAAATAAAAATCACATATCTTTCACTAAAAATAACAAAAGCAATTTATGAAATAAATTGAGCTAAGTGATAATAAACATCAGAAAGTAACTCACAATATTTTGTAAAGATGTATGATTGGATCCTCCAGAAGACAGTGCGAGAAGCCCTGGAAGCTCTTTCCTCAATATGGAAGTATATATCTTCTTTTGAAGACCGACGAGCGGAACCATTCTATCATGAATATACAGAACAATAAGTTAATCATACAATATAAATAGAGCACCCACAAGTAATTTTACAGGAAAGGATTAGCAATACAAGGTACAAGATTTTACACAGTTAGCTCCGTGAGAGGTGGCAACACCAGATTCCCAGACTCAATGAGCAAAGATTTTGTACGCCTCAGCATAAAGGCACCTAAGATGAACTTCAAACTCTTATATGTTTCCTTGTCATTAGATACATCAAGACCTGTTTTAACACAGAGGGAACGCACAAGTTAGTTTAGACCTCTTACGTCTTCCGAATGAATATCCACACAAAAATGTCAGAGAGCGTAGCACACTATATGGCTAGTGTGAGCGAACCTGATAGACCCTCCCCAGTCTCTTTGAATGCGACAAGGAACTTGTCCAGTGTCCCAAAAACTAGTGGCATGCAAAAATGCATCAGAGCCCAAAGTTCGGTAAGATTGTTCTGAATAGGTGTGCCAGTAATCAAGAGACGTCGTGGAATGAGGAATTGGTCAAGTAAGACATTATACAGAACCTGTGACATATCCAACTTTTATATTAGATGATTGCCCAGGATAAAATGTTCATACAGCCAGGACACGTAGAACCTAATTACTAACCAAACGGGTTTTTAACTATAGAAGCCTAAAGAAAGTGTCTACTCTATTATGGTTCAATAAAACCATATGATATCTAGCAACTAATGATATATCACGCAGTGCACAAGTCAATGGATTGTATAGTTAGACATAAGTGAACCATACACTGTTAGGATTCTTGAGTCTTTGAGCTTCATCAATTATAGCATAATGCCAAGGAATTTGAGAAAGAAAGTCCTGATCCACCAGTGCTATGTCATATGTTGTCAGCAACACATCAAATGGTAACAAATGTCCCTGAAAACAAAATAAAAGAAGGCTATAAATAATACAAACAACTTCCAACCCAAGTTCATAAGAAGTAACCCAGAGACAATTTCTTTTGTCTCTCACTTTACTATCTAAATGACTAAGTTCAAAACTCACCTTAGAACTCTTCTTGACATGATCATACATTGACTTACGCATATCCCGACGGCAATACTTATCACCAACATATCTAAGAACTTCAAGATTTGGAGTGAACCTATTTATCTCTGATACCCAACCATCCGTTACGCTCAAGGGACATAGCACCACTGCCACAGATTAAACATAAACCTTATTAACCCACATGACATCAGAAATTCCTACTGTATCAGAAAATGTAACAAGCAGATCTCATTGACTCACGAAATGGCCCAGGCAAGCCTTGATGAAACTTCAAATAACTCAGGAAAGAAATTGCTTGGAGAGTCTTTCCCAATCCCATCTGGTCCAATTCTTCTATTAGACTAAACACACACAAACACAATCAAAGATAACATTTCAAAAACGATGGAAGTACCTCGTCTCCTGCAATTAGAATCAAAACATACATGAATTAATCGAAGTTCGTTTGCTTTGATATTTGCATTATCTTAATCAAACTATCCTAAACTTGCGCACAAAGAAGAATCTGAAATGGATTCAAAGACCTACCGAGAACGACATTGACGCCGAGTAGATATTTCTGTATAAGCCAAGAGACACCTTCGACTTGGTGAGGCTTTAGAGTCGCCGTGACTCCAAATTCTCTACAATCCGGAGGTGATTTTGCCTCCTTCTCGAGTATAATTTTCGCCGCCGCTTCAAGTCGCCGTTCGTACTCCATCGTGGAAGGGACTTTTGGCGGTGAACTCTCTCTTTTGACATTTCTCATTGTCAGAGGCTGCCGTTTCGAGGCAGAGAACCGGAACCGGTTGAACCGGGAATTAACCAAGAGACAGGAAAAGGAATTAGAAGCTCAATACAACGACGTCGTTTAGTTTATCATTATACATATTTTATTTTGTTAAGGTTGATATTTTTTATTAAAAAAAAACATTTGATAAACGATTTGTTTGAATTTTAACACGAAAACATGAAGTTGGCCGAATATTATTCGTCGAACGAATCATTTCGGTGTTATATTGAGAGAATTTATACAAAACAAAATAAAATAAAAACTCATATGAGGAAATACTAAGATGATTATATGAAAGCCCATTTGGGGAAATAATCACAAAGCTTCCAAAATACAGACAAGTGGTGTGGATGGTGTGACGTCAGCAGATTCGGCATCGACGGCTCAAATGATGAGAAGAGAGACACAAAGGACCTACGTCAATCACCTTTAATTCCATTGTTGGCAATATGGTCAAATATTAAACATTTAATCAAACTTATAATCATAATAATAACTCTCTTTTTTATTTAAAATATTTTGGTAGCACTAAATATTCTCCCACCATTACTCCTCCATTCACTCTTAAAACTCCTCGAGTGGTGCTTAATTGTTACCAACGATCCATCTCTATGTTTCAACGCATCCATTTTTATTGCCGTATACCATAAGTAAATTTTGCTCTTATATTCACATTTCTATAATTCTATTGATCTTTTTGTGATTTTAAATGTATTTGTGCGTGGATAGATAATACATGATAAAACCGTTCGACTGGTCATGTAGTTACGTAATCCAACGAATGACTTGAATCACAATTTTTGAAATAATTTCACATATATACTTACGTTTTTTTAAAAAAAAACAAGAAAATACATATTTTGCACTATTATTTGACCATTGTCTCATCGACCAATCGCAACAAAATTGGTTTTGCGTGTAACCAAGAAATACGACTTTTTAAACATAATAATTGGCGAAAACTGTTTCATTTCGTGCCATCTCGTGGTGTTTTATATAGAAGATACGAATTAATTTACAAGATTTTGTATATGCAATATTTGGGATATTTTTTAGTTTAGCACCTTCCGTCTAGTACCATACTTTTTGTTTTTATCTCAATAATACTACCAAAGTTAAGAGTGCAAATTTTATCTCAGTTTAATTAGCCTTTAAAATGAGTCTTCTTATATGCCTATACAAGCTGATTTGTAAAAAAAAAACATGTGATAATGCAAAAAACTCTATAATAAAATGGTAGTCCAAAACGATGTGTTTCATGTTTTAGCTAATGAAAAATCGGATTGGCATATAAATACTTGCAAACTCCTATATATATAAAGGATACGGTTAACGGTTCATACATAACTGCCAACTCCACGCATATATATCAAGTCTCTAACCAGCTCATATCATAACGTTCAATACTAAAACATAATTGATATCATGGCGTATATATACTTATAATTAATAAAATATGGGCGCCATATGGTTTGACATGGTTTATTGAAGATCATTGTTCCGAAGACTTGTCTCTAAATGTTCTCCAAACTGAAGACATATGAATGAGGGTTCTATGATTTTAACGTTGAATTCCGAAACCATAATGAGTTTCTTTACCAATTTAATAATGTTTCAGTCTCAACTCTCATAAAGTATTTTATTATAATCAAAGTGGGTCGATTTGAAGCTTCATTAAAACAAAATATTAGTTGATTTAGCCAATGAGATTAACGCACAAAATGAATCAATGTTAGTGGAGATTTTACAAGTATCGATTATTACTAGTCAACAAAAAAGGAACCTCTTATTAGTTTTTTAATTGATTACAACATAATTATCCACAAGACGCATACATACAACATAAAATGTCCATCTATCATTATAATTAGGATCAACTTGTGAAGTGTCGGTGATCACTTCTCGGTTCTTGTTGTCTGCTTCATTCTTCTATCTTGATGTACACGTATTTCTTATAACCAACTATTCAATATTATGAGTGAATCTATTAACAATAATTTTGTTAGTTTCATGAGCAACAACTACAAATATATCAATTGATTAACGGTACATGTGTCGTGTGACGCAATAATATTCACTTCCAAGTTCTAATCACACTAATTTAAATTTATATTAAACAACATAAAGCAATGGCTTAGTATTATGTCTGCCATTTTCGAACTTTTCTTTCATGTCCAAATTTGCTCATGTCTTCCACAAAATCACTCAACTTTTTCTACCCCACCATAGTTCCTAAACATGCACACAGCCACGTATCCATTTAATTCACTCAATATAAATTTGAACTTTTTGTTGGTAAAAAACTCTATATATAACATATGCTTTGCGTGTACCAAAGAAAATTATATACCATAGTTTGCATATTACAAAAAAAAATGTTGAGCAATATGTCTCTCCCTATCCCGCCGAAATTTCTTCCACCGCTAAAATCTCCACCGATTCATCATCATCACCAAGCTCCGCCACCGCTTGCACCGCCACGAGCCGCAATATCAATATCTATACCAGAAACCGGTCTAGGACGTACCGGAACAATCCTCGACGATTCCACGTCATCAGCTTTCCGTGACTACCAATCTTTATTCGTATCACAACGCTCCGAGACGGTCGAACCGGTCGTAATTAAACCAATCGAAGGTTCAATACCGCTTAATTTCCCTTCCGGTACATATTACTTAGCCGGTCCAGGACTATTCACTGACGACCATGGCTCAACGGTTCATCCTTTAGACGGTCACGGTTATCTCCGTGCGTTTCACATCGACGGTAACAAACGGAGAGCTACTTTCACGGCGAAGTACGTTCAAACGGAAGCTAAAGAAGAAGAGCATGATCCAGTAACTGACACGTGGCGGTTCACTCATAGAGGTCCTTTCTCTGTGTTAAAAGGAGGGAAAAGATTTGGAAACACGAAAGTGATGAAAAACGTGGCTAATACTAGCGTTTTGAAATGGGCTGGGCGGTTGCTTTGTTTATGGGAAGGTGGTGAACCGTACGAGATTGAATCTGGATCGTTGGATACCGTCGGAAGATTTAACGTCGAGATCAACGGTTGTGATGATAATGATAATGATGATGATGATTCTTCCGACAGAGATTTTGCTGGTCATGATATATGGGACACAGCCGCAGATTTGTTGAAACCCATACTTCAAGGTAATGTTTATGTAAAGTTAGTAAAGTTCAATTAAATTAAAGTATGTAGTCCATTTTTCAGACAGCGGCGTAAGAATAATTAGTGTATAGTACTTAATTTTATTTTATTGATGTAGGAGTATTTAAGATGCCACCGAAACGGTTCTTGTCACATTACAAAGTCGACGGTCGAAGAAATAGACTTTTAACGGTCACTTGCAACGCTGAAGATATGCTTTTACCTCGAAGCAACTTCACATTTTGTGGTAAATAATCTTTTGATTCTGTAAAAACATTATTAAAAATAATCTTTTATTATTATTGTAATTGTAATGGCAAATAACTATTTACAGAGTATGATTCGGATTTCAAGTTGATACAAACGAAAGAGTTCAAGATCGATGATCATATGATGATTCATGATTGGGCATTCACGGACACTCACTACATACTATTTGCCAACCGAGTCAAGCTTGATCCACTTGGTAATATAAGCTAACTTACTTCTGTTACAAATTTACAAGAACATTAATACTTGCGTTGGAAGAAATCTGATGTGGATAAATATATTATCAGGATCCATGGCGGCGATGTGCGGAATGTCACCGATGGTATCAGCGTTATCGTTGAACCCTAGCAACGAGAGTTCCCCGATTTATATTCTCCCTAGGTTTTCTGAGAAATCTATAGGGGATCGAGACTGGAGAGTTCCTGTCGAAGTGTCTTCTCAATTGTGGCTAATACACTCCGGAAACGCTTATGAGACTAGAGAGGATAACGGCGATTTAAAGATTCAGATACAAGCTTCTGCTTGTTCCTACCAGTGGTTCGATTTCCAGAAAATGTTTGGTAAGTTAAAAACTCACCAAATACAAACCTCTCATGACATTAACTGTTCAGGATTTTTATAAGACTATTCGAAATAGCCTGTTTCACAAGTTAGGGTTTTTAGGTGTGCAAAAGACAGTTACTGAACATTTTTTTTTTTTTTTTTTTACAGGCTATGATTGGCAAAGGAACAATCTGGATCCTTCTGTTATGAATCTAAATCGCGGGGATGACAAACTACTCCCTCATCTAGTTAAGGTGTCTATGACATTGGACTCTTTTGGCGATTGCAAGAGTTGTGATGTAGAGCCTCTAAACGGCTGGAACAAGCCATCAGATTTTCCGGTTATAAACTCATCCTGGTCCGGAAAAAAGAACAAGTACATGTACTCTGCAGCCTCTTCGGGAACTCGAGGTGAACTTCCCCATTTCCCATTCGACATGGTCGTGAAGTTTGACTTAGACTCAAACCTCGTCCGTACTTGGTCTACCGGAGCTAGAAGATTCGTTGGTGAGCCCATGTTTGTCCCAAAAAACTCCGATGAAGAAGGAGAAGAAGAGGACGATGGTTACATTCTCGTGGTTGAGGTACGTATATAACAACACTTTCGTGTTTTTTTCTCTCTCTAAGAAATGCATTTGTACGTATATTTGATACAAATTTGTCATCTGCTATATTGCTAGTATGCGGTTTCGGTGGAGAGATGTTACCTTGTGATTTTGGATGCCAAGAAGATCGGTGAATCCGATGCGGTCGTGTCGAGATTAGAGGTTCCGAGGAATCTGACGTTTCCGATGGGTTTTCACGGTTTATGGGCTAGCGACTGAATTCTGTTGATAATGATTTCATTTGGATATTACTTGTACATAATGTAGTTTTATGGGCTAGCAATTTTATGATATTTTTTTTTGGTTAGGAATTTTGTAAGAAAAAAAGGTGTTGAACAGAAGCCATAGTTATTGTACTATTGTATAAACAAAGTGTATAGTGTAATTATCAAACTGGAAGTCTATATTGTAATTAAACAAATTGTATAGCAAATCCAAAAATCAATTACATTATGTGTATATATTCTTTTTGTTTTAATAAAAGTTTGCTTTTTTGACAAAAAGATGTGTACATTTTACACAAAAAATTATTCTAAAACATTTTTACCGATAAAGGGAACACTATGTGCTTACGTGTACCTTTTTCGCTGTCTAGTACACGTCATCACCATATTATTGGGCTGGGCCGAGAACAAGTTTTTTTTTCTTTCTTTCTGTTTGTTCCCTCTCATTTGACCATAAGCCGGTTGCGTTTGACTCTACGCTCCGACTAACCACAAAGCCTCTCCGTACAAAAGAGGGTTTCTGCAAAACCTCTTATTTCTCAAACGCCGGCGACGAAGAACGAACCAGTGAGCGAGAGAAGAGAGAAGAGAGAAGAGAGAAGAGAGAATCAATCAATAACCGCAATGTCGGGGTTTCCATTTGGTCAATCCAATTCCGTTGGAAGTTTCTCATTCGGATCTTCTTCTGCAACTAATTCCTCTTCTGCTTCATCTACCACTTCTCCGTTATCTTTCTCCTTTAACCAATCTTCAAACCCTAGCTCCACCGGATTCGGTTTCGGATCCACCGTATCATCAACTCCTGCTTCCTCCACTACTCCATCTTTTGGATTCGGAGCTTCCTCAACTCCTTCGTTCGGATTCGGTTCCTCTGCTTCCTCAACTCCTTCGTTCGGATTTGGTTCCTCTGCTTCATCGACTCCTTCGTTCGGATTCGGATCCTCTGCCTCCGCGACTCCTGCTTCCACAACTCCATCGTTTGGATTTGGAACCGCCGCTTCTTCATCTGCTTCTGCCCCGTCGCTGTTTGGTTCATCTACCACCAATGCTTCTTCGGCTGCTCCTGGTTCTTCTCCTTTCGGATTTGTAACTTCTTCGGCCTCTTCGGCGACTGTTTCAGCTTCATCTCCGTTTGGAGCTCCCGCCTCTTCCTCTGCAACTCCATCTTCATCTATTTTCGGAGCGGCTCCAGCCAGTGGTTCATCATCTCTCTTTGGATCTTCCTCATCCTTATTCTCCGCTCCGTCATCTGCCTCCACCTCAAATTCTTCTATCTTCGGAGCATCCTCATCCGCAGCTACTTCTACATCTCCTCTTTTCGGCGCGCCATCATCAGCCACCGGCTCGACACCGTCCTTTAGCGTGGCCTCATCAGCACCTGGCTCCTCATCATCCTTCTTTGGAGCCACTAGCTCGTCACCTTCCTTCAGTGTTGCCTCATCAACCTCTGGCTCCTCACCGTCAATCTTTGGAGCCAGCGGTTCGTCACCGTCAATCTTTGGTTCGTCTTCGTCAGCCGGTTCAACTCCGTCTCTCTTTGCATCGTCCTCGTCAGGCGCAACAGCTTCTTCACCATCCCCGTTTGGAGTATCCACCATCAATTCCTCAACTACAACTAATCCCTCGAATGCCTCAGCTTCTCCTTTCTCTGCTTCTACCGGATTCTCTTTCTTGAAAAGCACAGCAAGTTCGACCACCAGCACCACCACTGCTTCTGCTCCTCCACAAACGGCGTCATCTTCTTCCTTCTCATTTGGTACATCCGCCAATTCAGGTTTTAACCTTTCAACCGGAAGCTCCGCATCACCTGCCTCCAGCACATCCGGAGCAGTGTTTTCTATTGCAACCACCACCACTACTTCTTCTTCGACTCCGGCTGCCACTAGTGCACCAGCTTCTTCAGCTGCAGCTTCTACAATGGCTTTCCCTTCTTTTGGTGTGAGCTCATCTGCAACCAACACCACTCCGGCTAGCTCCGCTGCTACATTCAGTACTACAGGATTTGGTTTGGCTAGCTCGACTCCTGCCACTGGATCTACGAAATCTTTTACTGGGTTTGCTGTACCGCAGACATCAACACCTGCATCATCTTCACAACCACAAACTACTAGTCCTGCATTCTCATTCAGTAAGTTGTTTATGGTTTGTCTCAGGATTTGTTTGTGATTTTGCCTATCCCATTTGCTACAATGATTAGGAATGAGAATTTGGAGAATTATGGGAATCATTAATTAGGAATAGAGATCTGATCGATGTACTTTATCTACCTTAATCTATAGTATACTCATTAGTATGCTTTGGTTTGCCTTCTGCTTATAGTCTATGACATGAATAATCTATATATATATATATATATAACTGCCGAGTTGTTTTACGGATCAGAAGTTATAGTTTTTTACCTTTTGAAAGAAGTATTGTTGTTGTTCAGGTCTTCCATCTTCGACTTCTACTACTGCTCCTGCTACTACTTCTGCTACTACAACACAGACATCTCTTGTTGTGCCTTCGAGTAGTGGGTATGCTCTTTTCATATTTTGAACGGCTGTACATGTTCTACCTTCACCTCGACTATGTTGTAGCTGATGTTAACTTGTTATGTGTTTCTTGTTATTTATTAGGACGAGCACAGCTGTTGCTCCAGTGGCTGGTTCTCCAAAGTTGCCATCTGAAATAACTGGCAAAACTGTTGAGGAGGTAGATCTTTCCCTCCTCTACATTTATCCTTTTTGCCATGTTATATATATATATATATATATAATATTCAAATGCTGTTGATGTTTGTAGATTATCAAGGAGTGGAATACTGAGCTACAAGAGCGTACAGGGAGATTCCGGAAACAGGCAAATGCAATAGCAGAGTGGGATAAGCGGATCTTGCAGAACCGTGATGTTCTTTTGAGGCTTGAGGTGAAATTACTTTGTCCTATTATGGAGACTCTGTTAAAATCTCTTTCCGTTTTATATCTTTAAATACATTGTTCTGAGCAGACCTCTGAGTTTGTATGTTTAGCTCATATAGGCATGTACTGTATAATTAGCTCATTCTTTTTGTGCACTTCACCAACAAACAGATTGAAGTTGCAAAAGTGGTTGAAACCCAATCTAGCCTGGAACGACAGCTGGAATTAATCGAGACTCATCAGCAAGAGGTATGCGATATAACTATTATATCTCTATTTTAAGGTGTAAATGAGGTTTCTGATTGTAACTTGCAGCGGGAAATCATTTGTGCCTTATTTGTGGGAAATAAAATTTCTCTTCTTATCATCTCTGATCTCTGTCAGTCCCACACTCTCACACTTTTTTAATCTGAATTTATCTGACATGGACTCATAGAGATTGTCTACCTTCTACCTCGCTTAATTCGAAATTGGGCTAGTCAATACCAAAGCCGCTGTGCCAATCATCTGAATTCTCTGTTTTTGTTTAAGGTTGACAAGGCTTTGCAAAGCATGGAGGAAGAGGCTGAGCGTATATATAATGACGAGCGGAAATCACTTCTTGACGATGAAGCAGCATCAACTAGAGATGCAATGTAAGAACTCTTTTCAGTCTTTCCACTATCATCATCAATTTACATCATATCAATTAGCCTTATCATGCGCATCCTAGCCTGATTTTATGCTTTATTACAATAAACTTTGTTTTTCATCCCAGGTATGAACAGTCTGAGCTAGTAGAAAGAGAATTGGAGCATATGACTGAACAAATCAGATCGATTATACAATCCGTAAATGCAAACCAGGTAACGCGGTAACTTATCATGTACTATTCTTTTTTTTAAGTGAACATACATCGTAAACCTGTTTGTGTGAAACAGGGTGGAGAACTTGAAGCAATAGATGGCATGAGTCCACTGGACGTTGTTGTCAGAATCCTGAACAATCAACTTAGCTCCTTAATGTGGATTGATGAGAAAGTAAGTTTTCTAAATTGTCTTCTACGCATTGTTACAATAACTACAATTGTGTTTAACTTAAAACATTTTGAACATTGAACAGGCAGAGGAATTCTCTTCTCGGATTCAAAAAATCGCATCGCAAGGTTCTGGTGGAGATCGTGAATTGATGGCTCCAAAGCACTGGATGTCTTGATAGGAATTACAAAAACACATCATCAGCTCAGGAAATGAATTATCTTCTTGTAGTTTCGTGTTATTTCTAGATGTATGATTTTACAATTGCACATGATGAATTTTTTACCATAAAGATTTGTATCATTTGAATATCATTGATTGACTGATTTGTTGTTGTTATCCCAATTTTAATTACTTTTCACCTTATAAATGTCCACCGCCTCAAGAGGTTAAAACGACGACGTGGCGTCTATATTTCGGATTTATTTCCTTAATCATCATCAATCAAAGACTTTCTCACATGGATATAGACGAGTCACGACGACTCACGCGTATCGAAACAAAACGTTGTTGTTAGAGAGAAAATTCCAGTTCTTGGATTCCGGCGACCTCATTGGTGAAAGATCTTGAGAGACTATATTATTTTACCTTTCTCTTGACCGGTTTCGATGGCGGATGGAAACGCCGCTTCGCGTTACGTGAAATTGAGGAAAGAGCAAGCTCCTGTCGAAGAAGATATCACACCCGGTGAACTCAATCAGCCCATTGATGTTCCTCAGGTTTGTTAGATTCTCTATCTCCCTGCATTACTCTTAACGCACGTTTCTAGAGAACTCCGATCTCGTAATTCCTTCAGATCTGTATCTTAATCGATTTGATGGTTTTGATCATATGTGGTGGTAGAGTTCTTGTTGATTTCGATTGTTGTTTGTGTCGATCTACACCTCTCGATGAGGTCTAAGAGATGGCATCGTTGTCCTGTTTGATTGAGAATTAGTGTGTAACTAGTCTCTCTTGATTTGATTTCTTTGATCAATCTTGGATTTCTCCTGATTTGTCGTGCGTTAGATCCTTGTGATGTGATATAGAGTCTGTTGTGACATGAACATATAGCGACTTCTTATTGGCACCACCTGTTTTGAAGTTTTTTGTATCAACACTGATTAGTCTAGTCTCATCAAGCAACTATTAAAATAAGCCTAGAGTCTAGTACGTTCCTTTGAAGCTTCCATATGAGAATGTGTGATGGAATCGAGAAACTCGAGACTATCTTTCTATGAATTTCTTTGAATTTTAATATGGTAGTCTTTGTAGTGTGGCAGTCATGTATAATAATCACTCTACTGCTTTTTCTGTTTTTGAATTTGTTTACAGTTGAATGTCCGCAAGTGCCATGAATGTATGCAAGTTCTACCTGAAACCTATGAACCTCCTTCTGATGAAAACTGGACCACCGGCATTTTTGGTTGTGCTGAAGATCCAGAGAGCTGTAAGTATTTCCTCTTTGTTTTGTAACTGTCCAAAGATATGATTCTTAATCACTTGTTCTTGTGCATGAGTTCTCTATTACTTTTGGCGAAATTTCTCCATTGTAGTTTAATATGCTTTGAATTTTCTTTCTTAATGGAAGATAATCCACCTATGAGGACACTTTGACCCAATGCTATTGTATGATTTTGCAGGCAGGACTGGTCTCTTTTGCCCGTGTGTACTGTTTGGGCGTAACATTGAAGCTGTGAGGGAAGAGATTCCTTGGACCCAACCATGTGTATGCCATGCAATATGTGTCGAAGGAGGTATGGCACTTGCAGCAGTCACTGCACTCTTCAGTGGCTACATTGATCCTCAAACAACGGTTGTCATCTGCGAAGGCCTCTTCTTTGCTTGGTGGATGTGTGGAATCTATTCAGGCCTGTTCCGCCAAGAACTCCAGAAGAAATATCATCTCAAGGTTAGTAAAAATCCCACATCAGTTCATTCTCATATTTCAGATATTATCTCTGATTGATCTTTGTGGTTATCTTGCAGAATGCGCCTTGTGATCATTGCATGGTTCACTGTTGCTTGCACTGGTGTGCTATGTGTCAAGAACACAGGGAGATGAAGAATCATCTTTCTGATACAGAAGCCTCATCATCAACTACTATGGATCCTCCCCCAGTTCAAGAGATGAACACCGAGGAGAAAAGAGACGCTTCATCTTCTTCGTCTTCATCCCCATCATCTGCCAAAAGCCAACACAATGATCTCGAGATGGTCCCTCTATAGGAAGCATTCCTTATCAATCTCTGCTGCTTATGCTCTAAGCTGTTTTTTCTGTGCAGAGAGGTCTTCGTACCAGATGATTCTGTTGCCCTTAGGTTTTAAATATGCAAAAGTTTGTTCTAAGAACAAGTTCATTAGTACTCTTAAGTTTTACAGAACTTAAATTCATGACTTCATTGAATCGCTTGGAAGAAGGAAGCAACATCTGTCTCTGAACTATTTTGTGATTAAACACTAAATGACTTTGGTAAAATTGTTTCGAATTCACACCTTTCGTTATTTGTTATACTCTATTTATAAAAAGGTTAAAGTAATTACAGAAGCACCCGTGGCCTAATGGATAAGGCGTTTGACTTCTAATCAAACGATTGTGGGTTCGAGTCCCACCGGGTGTGTTTGTCTAATTTTGCTGAAGTTGACGAAAACAAATTTGAATTTTTCCCTATATTTTTTTTTTAAATCGTAAAATACAGGAAATAAATTGCAAAAGAAAAAACATTTAGCTCGAAATCATGATCCAATTCAAGGTCTAGATTTATAAAATGTTGGTGTTACTGATTTTCATACAAATGACTAAACTCAAAACACTGATGATGTAACTTAGGAAACCAAAGATGAATTTACTAAGTGTTGAATGCACTAATCCAAATACTTGTTGTTTTAAAACCTTTGACGATTGTCCAACACTTGGCCTCTGTTCTCAGGAGGCGGAGGCGAAACAGCTTGGCATATTCAGGGAGTTTGCGGACCAGCTTTATTTCCCCAGAGAAAAAATCACACACTCCCAAATCTCCATCCTCCATGGTGCTCAAGTGATAATAGTATATTATTTGCTAAAATATTATGTTAATGGTCATCACATCATGATCCAATTCAAAGGTCTAGAATTATGTTACTAATTTTCACACATACGACTAAACTCAAAACATTAGTTCTTACCGTTAGTGGTGTCAAAAATTGTAACAAGAGAAAACATGAGTTGGAATATCTCGAAGAAAGATTGTACAAATACCAAAGCTGGTGAAAAGCTTGGAAAAGAAAAAACATAAACATGTCATTCAAAAATTGTAGTCTCTAGACTCTCTACGGGTTTTCAATCTCACAAGTACACAGAAAAATTAACCACCGTAACCATAGCATCTCCAAGGTCTTAAAATCCGGATAGCAGAAACGTCTTTCGCGATTGGGATGATGTTTCTTCAGTATGATCTTCAGCAGGACTGAGACGGTAAATGTTTTGCATATAAGCAATGAGAAAATATTTAATAAGCTTAATCTAGTGAGACTAGCGCGGAAAGAACGTAAAATAAAATAAAAATGCATTTGACAGTCCAACCACTCCAAAAACGTTGTGTTTAGGGACAACCAGCGGTCATGAAACTAACAAGAAACCAAATGCGTTTTCAGAGACTATGTCATAGATGAGGAGATAAATTAACTGATACAAGGATAATGTCGCTGAGTTTCCATAGCCACTAGATGAAATTGTAAGGTTTTGTATACACAAAAATATGCAAACGCTACTAGAAAAACAGTATGAGAGAATGGAAATCACTGACCTTAGGAGAAGTAATCCAGGGAGGCGGAGGCCAAAACAGCTTGGCATATTCAGGGTGTTGGCGCACTATTTTTATTTCCCCAGACGTAAATTCACACACTCCCAAATCTTTATAATCCATCGTGTCCAAGTCTTCCCAATCAAAGACGAAACCGTGAAAAAACACACTTCCTCCATAAAGAGGTAAGATATCAGAAGCTGAAGCTGAAAATGTGGATTCATCACCAAGGAACAATATTTTATCCCCAAGATCCTTAACCTCAACCCAACTCTTCTCTCTTTCCACAAGTTTAAAGACTTTGATTTTGTGTGTTATCTCATTACCAAAAACCCCATTGTGCTCCATGTAATCCTCTTCCTCGAAGTTCCAAAGAGATATTGCATCAAATTTTATGCCCAAGTACATATCGACAAGCAACAAGTCACCACAGGATTCAACCAAAACCTTCTTCTCACCACCAAACACAGGACTTGCGACCATTGTCAATTTCATAGAAGAAAAATCAACAACCACAGTCCTCCCATCATCCTCGACGGCGAAGAAACATCCATGGAACAAAATCACATCACAAAAACAACCATCTTCATTGATCACAGTCCATGCTTGATCCCAAGAAGTAAACACAGCTAATTTCCCAGACACATCTAAATACCCAGAAACAAGAATCGTAAGCAACACAAATCTAGACTCTTCATCACTATCTAGATACTTGACAACCGTTTAATCGAATCCGCCTGTTCATGATGAGGCTTGATAAGTAAGATAATCCGCTGCGAGAGGCGAAAGCCTAAGGCGGAATCAGGGAAGAGGCTGCCACCATTACCGGGGGTGATCGGAAAGTCCTGTAACGGGAGAAGGCGGCGTTTCGGCTCGGCGGCTGCCTTTCTCCATGAAGAGCATACGGATCGGAATTTGACGAGATCAAAGGAAGATTCTAGAGATTTTGAAATCAAAACTAACATATCATTCGGAAGTGTTGCCCAATCCACCATGGTTGCCGCCAGAGAAAGACAACAGATTTCGAAATCAGGTCTAAATATATATACACGATGAGAATTGACCCGACCCGGATATACTACGGGTCAAATAACCCATCGGTTCTAGATGTTAAACCGAACCATAAATTATCAAACCGAACCATAATCAAAATTGATAATTTACACACACACAACTCTCAAGTCTCTCGAAGACTCAAACCCATTTTCCTAAAACCCTCGTCCCACCTACAAAGCCATGGCGAGGTTTCCGACTTCTCCGGCGCCTAACCTCCTCTTGAGGCTCTTCTCCTCCAACAAACGCTCTTCATCTCCTACTGCCGCGCTTTTAACCGGAGATTTTCAGCTGATTCGTCATTTCTCCGCTGGAACCGCTGCTCGTGCGGCCAAGGATGACAAGGAACCATGGTGGAAAGAATCCATGGACAAGCTTCGCAACATCGGGATCTCAGCTCATATAGACTCTGGGAAGACTACGTTGACTGAGCGTGTTCTGTTCTATACCGGTCGGATCCATGAGATCCACGAAGTCAGAGGTAGAGATGGCGTCGGAGCTAAAATGGACTCCATGGACTTGGAGCGAGAGAAAGGTATCACCATCCAATCAGCCGCTACTTACTGTACCTGGAAGGATTACAAGGTGAGAGTAGATTGAGATCTTTCTTATGATTCTGTGATTGTTGATTTCTTCTCAGATTCGTGTTGTTTTTGGAGATTAAAATTGAGCCTGTTTAGTCAAAATTGGTTTCGTTTGTTTAATTCCGTAGTAATCCTATTCAATTGAGCTTTGAAATTTGTGTTTTGATTGTTGTCAGGTTAATATTATTGATACTCCTGGTCATGTTGACTTCACCATTGAAGTGGAGAGGGCTTTACGTGTACTAGACGGTGCGATTCTAGTTCTGTGCAGTGTTGGTGGTGTACAGAGTCAGTCTATTACAGTAGATAGGCAAATGAGGAGATATGAAGTCCCGAGAGTTGCGTTTATTAACAAGCTTGATAGGATGGGAGCAGATCCATGGAAAGTTTTGAACCAAGTGTGTAAACCTATTATCCTTCTGTTACTTGACTTATTGAATGAGTTTGAAAAAGCATAGCTTTACTGGTTATAACTTCTTTTTTTTTACTTCACTAGGCAAGAGCTAAGCTTCGACATCATAGTGCAGCTGTGCAAGTGCCCATTGGTTTAGAAGAAAATTTCCAGGGTCTTATAGATCTTATTCATGTGAAAGCTTATTTCTTTCATGGATCTAGCGGGTTTGTGTTACAATGCATTTTTTAGAATTTGCTTTTGTTGTAGTGGGGGATATGTATGTGTTATGACATTTTGATTTTCTATAAATTGCAGTGAGAATGTTGTGGCTGGTGATATTCCTGCTGATATGGAAGGTTTGGTTGCGGAGAAGAGGCGAGAATTGATAGAGACAGTCTCTGAAGTTGATGATGTACTCGCCGAGAAATTTCTGAATGATGAGCCTGTATCTGCTGCTGAGCTTGAGGTTTTTCTTTTTCATTTGGTTTTGAAAGCAAAGAAGATTCTTTGCATGAAACATATGAAATGGTTCCTGGAATATAGATAGATATTGTTGGCAACTTATGATGTTGAGTTAGTTGATTTCACTTAACAGATATCAATCCCGAGGGACTGTTGAACATGTGGGTTCTAGCCTACCTTAGGCATTGTCTTAAATTCGTAGTGTTATCTTTCATTACTAGCGTCCATGAATTGCCACGTTTTGATATTATTACTCTGTTACTTGCATTTTGTTACTGTAACTTTTGTGGTCTGCTGTATATATGTGCAGGAAGCTATTCGTAGAGCTACCATAGCACAAAAGTTTGTTCCTGTATTTATGGGTAGTGCATTCAAAAACAAGGTAATTGATTTTTGGAATCCAAAGATGATATTTGCGCAAGTTTAGTTGACATATTCACTTACGTTTCTCCTTGTCCCGTTGTGTCTGTATTAAAAAGTTTTCAACATCTGCCGTGCTCCCTTGTTTTTTGTCTGCAGGGAGTACAACCTCTACTAGATGGTGTTGTCAGTTATCTCCCTTCTCCAAATGAAGTCAATAACTATGCTCTAGACCAGATGAATAATGAAGAGAGGGTATTCAACTTGTAATTTAGTTTTATTGGAGAAAGTATACTGGTTCTAAAGAATTGAGTTTCAGGTTACTTTGACTGGATCTCCAGATGGACCTCTTGTGGCGCTGGCTTTCAAATTAGAGGAGGGTCGTTTTGGTCAACTGACATATTTGAGGTAAATGTTGAATCTCCCCCTTGACTATATATGTTCTGTTTTTTAAAATATTAAATGTATTTGTGCCCTTCTGTCATGCATGAAGTAAATGGCTGAATGCTAACTCATGTTGTTGTTTTTATGAAGAGTTTACGAAGGTGTGATTAAGAAGGGTGATTTTATCATAAATGTCAATACTGGGAAGAGAATTAAGGTTAGTTGTTGGATCTTAGTATTACTTTTTGATTTTCAACGCCATGAAGTCTTGTGCATGAATTTATACCAAATTAGACTGAATCAGAATAGTTTTCTTGCCCCTCACCTTATGGATACATTCTTCATAGATGCAAAATGTCTGAATGTCATTCCACTTTTTCATTTTTTCTTCTTAACCCTTGCAAGTAGTCCCTGAGATATTTGATCTTACCTAAAGGCCTATTCAATGTTTCTTGGTGTAGGTTCCACGCTTGGTCCGTATGCATTCAAATGATATGGAGGTTAGTTGAAGTTTATTTTTCTCCTTAAGATTCCATCATGGTAGCTCCGTGGTGGCAACTCTAGTGCCATGTGACTGGATTCTAAATTTTTATTCTATTTTCAGGATATTCAAGAGGCACACGCTGGACAAATAGTAGCTGTGTTTGGTATTGAGTGTGCATCAGGTACAGTAGAAAATTCTTCTGTACTTGTTCAAACTTAACATAATTTACTTTTCTGGGGATGAAATTCTGCTATTGTGTTTCTTGTTGGGTCATTTCCTAACCCTCAATACATAATCAGGTGATACATTTACGGATGGAACAGTCAAGTACACAATGACATCGATGAACGTTCCTGAACCTGTTATGTCCTTAGCTGTTCAACCGGTTTCGAAAGATTCTGGAGGACAGGTAACTTATGTGAACTTTGAAGCTAAAACAACAACATATTTTTCCTTTAATTCTGGTTTTAAGAAATTTGCAATTGAAATCTGTTTTCCGGTGTTAGTTCTCGAAAGCATTGAATCGATTCCAGAAAGAGGATCCTACTTTCCGGGTGGGATTGGATCCCGAGAGTGGCCAGGTATCATCTAAGAACTCTGTTGCTTCTCAGTACCTCTCTCTTAATTCACCCCATAGTATTTACCATTGATGATTCTTCCATTTATCCTTAATGGGACAGACGATTATTTCTGGTATGGGGGAATTGCATTTGGACATCTATGTTGAACGCATGCGGAGAGAATATAAGGTACCTGACTTTAAACCTTCACAATGTTCTCACTTTAGCGCTTCTCAACAAAACCCTTATTTTCTGCTTATTTTTGGAAATATCAAATAGGTTGATGCGACTGTGGGCAAACCCCGTGTCAATTTTAGGGAGACTATTACTCAGCGGGCGGAGTTTGATTATTTACATAAGAAGCAAAGTGGAGGAGCTGGTCAATACGGTAGAGTTACAGGGTGAGTATCCTAAATGATGTGGTATGGATCCCTGCTAAACCAGTCCTAACGATGTCTGGTTAAATTGATATAATTGATAGGTACGTGGAACCGCTACCACCAGGTTCTAAAGAGAAGTTTGAATTTGAAAACATGATTGTTGGACAAGCAATTCCGTCTGGATTTATTCCAGCAATTGAGAAAGGTTTCAAAGAAGCTGCAAACTCGTGAGTGATCTTCGTCTCTCGAATTCATGTCTTTCTAAATTTCCTTTTTTCCTCTTGATTTGGTTGAGGAAATGTTGTTGTAAGTGATAGTGAAACCCCCTATTCCATTGCAGGGGCTCACTAATTGGTCACCCTGTAGAGAATCTCAGAATAGTATTGACAGATGGAGCTTCACACGCGGTAGATTCGAGTGAACTTGCGTTTAAAATGGCTGCAATATACGCATTCAGACTGTGTTACACAGCAGCTAGACCGGTGATTCTAGAACCTGTTATGTTGGTCGAGTTGAAAGTACCAACAGAGTTTCAGGGTACTGTTGCCGGTGACATCAACAAGTAAACTCTAAAACTCTAAACCCTTTTAACAATCCCCTTTCTCCTTGTCCTATTAGTATAGTAACTCAACTTGTTTCATTTTCAGGAGAAAAGGCATAATCGTTGGAAACGATCAAGAGGGTGACGATTCAGTAATCACTGCTAACGTAAGAACCAATATAAAAAGCAAAGTTTCCTCTATCAAATTTCGAAACAGTAATAATTAACAACATGTAATTATGTTTGTTTTTAACAGGTGCCTTTGAACAACATGTTTGGCTACTCCACTTCTCTCCGGTCCATGACACAAGGAAAAGGAGAATTCACAATGGAATACAAAGAACATTCTGCTGTATCCAATGAAGTCCAAGCTCAGCTCGTCAATGCTTACAGCGCCAGCAAAGCAACTGAATAAGCAAGCCCTTAAATCGAATATTATGGTTTGTTTTCTCATAATGTTGAGTTACAACATTATTTATACGGTTCACACCCAACAAAATCACTCAACATAAAATGCCTAATGGGCTATGTCAGAAAATCACTTATGTTTATTGGGCCCTTAGGTAGGTCACATTTTTTGGTATCCACCAGTCCCAATCATTTTGATAATGGTAAGCCAGCAAATATCTTTCTTCTTTTTTTTTCCTACACAACAACAGTCTCCTACATCAATTCTCTATATAGTAAGATAGGGTCAAAAACAAGTCAAGTAGCCAACTAAAGATCGTTAGAGACAACAATAATTGACATAAGAGTCGTCTTCACGTCAAATAGGAGAAGAAGTAACAGTCTCTAACGAACGAGGTCAGACC